GTTCAAGTTTTCCATCATATTGTACAGTGGAGATCAACGCCCGCCCCTCACCCCTTTTATTCACACAGATTTTCCAGCAACTGTGTGGTCCAGTAACCGTGACCCCCGTTTATCGAGGGTTTATCTGCAAGAAATGCCATGCCAAGTTCTACAAGTGCCACAGCATCCTGATCAGGTTTCTGCAAAGAGTCAATCTCCCCCAGTTGGGAAAGAAACCTCAAAAGCCCTAGTCCAATAAAAAATTTACCTTAGTGTGACTTTAAAATTGTGTGTGAATTGCAGTATTTTCAAATGTTCAGACAGAAAATCAACAAATATAAGCTCGTTGTTTCTTTTTCAGGAAAGAAAGAGTCCCGAGTCATCAGTAAATCAAGGTTCAATAAGTAAATAAAAGCATTCTTTTATTTTACTTTCAGAGATTACATAAAATACAGGTCAACTGTATTGCAACTCTTTTGACCCTTCTGCTGTTTTCTTTCAGCACCACCGTCCTTTTACCTCGGACTCTAAGTGCCTCCACAGTCTGGTGGTGTCCTGGCTCACCACCACGGAGAGGCCTGCTGCCTGCTCCTGCCCCGACCTGAAGGAGGTGTGTGAAGGGCCAGTGCTGTGGGGCTCTTTAAGGCCGTGTGTGGGTTGTATGGTCACAGTACAATGTACATCATGGCATCACTCAGTCACTATAATCCAGTTACACAATGAACTTTAGCAGTGGAGTGTTAGGGAGTGGCAATGGCCGATGGAGTGATGTCAGAGGAGGATGAACTGGAGCAGGAGGAGGAGGAAGATGAAGTAGAACAGCCCAGTGGGAATGGAAGGACCCCAGGTGGAAGTATAAGCACTCTGGATCAACACAGTCTCCACACAGTCATGGCACAGACTCAAGCTCAGCACTGGTTGACTGGGCCAGCAACACTGAAGGTGAGACAATTGACAAGTTGTGATCCCAGGAGGAGGAGCATCAACTGTAAATGTTTGAAGAGGCACATGTCCAGCACTGCCTGTTTCTCCCTCTGAGGAACTGTGATGGATGTTTGTGGGGTTTTTTGTTGTCTAGCATGAATTGTTGAAATGCAACCTCTCACTCTATAAATATATTTTGGTTTAGATCATCTTTAAGTTGACCCAGTAAGTTATAGTTTTAGTTTGTTCTGTAACATTGTTTGTGTGTAACTAGTATATTAAGAACAGGTCTGACCAACAGTCCAAAACCAAAGATATTCACTTTACAATGACATAAGAGAAAGCACATTTTTCATTGAAGAAGCTACAACCAGAGACTTTGGGCATTTGATTAAAAAAAATACTCAAAAAGTTAATCAATCAGCAAAATAGTTTCAGATTATTTTCCATCAATGGACTAGTCAATTAATCAACCAGTTGTTGCTGCTATAATTAGCAGCAGAGACACACTCTTTCTCCATCCTTCTTTCTCTCTCTCTCTTTATGTGTAAAGCAAACTTTGCAAACTGTTGGCGCACCTGCTCCACCTGTTTGTTCAATGCAATTATCCAGTCAGCCAATCATGTGGCAGCAGTGCATAGAGCAGATACAGGTGAGGAGATTCAGTTCATGTTCACATCAAACATCTGGATGAGGAAAAACGTGACTCAGTGACTTTTGACTGTGACATGATTGTTGGGGTGTCAGACGCGTGTTTGAGGTTTTCTGAAACTGCTGATCTCCACGACAGTCTCAGAGTTTTTTCTCAGAATGCAGGCTGGTGGTGGTATAATGGTAAGACGAATGTTTTCTTGTCTCACTTTGGGCCTTAATACCAAACAGTCATGGTCTGAATGTCACAGTCTCTCTGACTATTGTTGGTGACCATGTTCATCCCTTCTTGCCACCGATTCTCTCACGTCATTCTAATGATCTACTATCCAGACAGAGGAGGGTGCGTGCCATGTCAACAAAGCGCTGAAAGGTCGTCTCAAACTGGTTTCATGAACAGGACAGTGAGTTCAGTGAACTTCAAACACCTTTGGGATGTGGTAGAACAGGAGATTGGCAGCTTTAATGTGCAGCTGAAAAATCAGCAGAAATGATGTGATGCAGTTTCAACACAACATGAGGAATCCATGACATGTAGAACTGAGGCTGTTTGAGAGCAAAGGAGGAAGTAGACATTGTTAATGTGGTGTTCCAGTGTATCTCCATATGCATACTGCGACCATTTGATTCCACATGGGTCCGTGAGGCACATGTGACACAGACTCTTTTCCCTGCTCAGGTATCTTTACATGCTGGGTCTATTTCTAACAGCCGACTCGAGTCTCTAGTTGAATTGCTGGTAATGACAACATAATAATATGAAGATATAGACGATTGCCCTCCCCTAACACAGATACAGACTCTGTTAGCAGTATAGTAGGAACACCTGGCTAAAACTAACACAGTCTACTGCAAGAGTGCTGAATAAATCCTTCACCTTCATGAAGGTTATAATGTTCACTTCATGTTCAAACTGTTCTGGTCATTTAGGAGGCTGCAGTTTGTGGTGCTATTGAATTGTATTGTGTTACACTGACAGGTTTTTATTTTTTTATATCAATGAGGGTGGGCTAAGTAAATGAAACTCCTCTCTGAGTATGTTATGGTGAATTAAATATAAAATTTGACTCAATTGTCAATAAATACAGGCCTTTCTATACATTCTCAAGTTAATTCAGAGACAATAAATGTTAACCTCCATGAAGTTTATCATGTTGAGTTTTTGCTGAAACCTGAACTGAATTGTGTTGTATTTAGTGTCCACTCTCACCTGAATGGATTCACCAGCCAGACTGAAAAAATACCTTGTCTGTATGAATCCTTGACTCACATGGTTGTGGATTTTCTCAACTAGATTTTACAGGTCATGAGGAGCCTTTGTCTCCTGCTCTGGCCCAGCTGGAGGACAGGACAGCTGACAGTGATGTGTCTGACAGGTGAGTCACACAGCTCATCTGATTATGTCTTTTCTCATTTTTTATAACTGCCAGTTTGTGGGTATGAGGGAGTATTAAGGCCACATTAAGGAAACATAAAGAAATCTGAAAGTTTGAGAATAAAGTCAATATATTACGAGAATAAAGTTGTAAAGTGAAAGGATAGTCAGTGGCAACCTGAGCTGTTTGTCTAACAATAGAACAGACTCAGTTTCTTCACAATCTTTTCAATGTCCTGGTGCTGATGATGCTGCTGATGATGCTGCTGATGATGATGCTGATGATGCTGATGATGCTGATGATGCTGAAGATGCTGATGATGCTGATGATGATGATGATGATGATGATGATGATGATGATGCTGTGTGTGTGTCCAGGGTCATCTCTGAGGATGAATTTGAGGAGAGTAGAAAAGGAGGGTTGTCAGACGACGAGCTGTTCGAGCCGTACTCAGACAAGAGGTGTGTACCAATACTCTTCACCAAAGAGCAGAGATGGGCTCAGAATGGGTGCTGACAGAAACCCAAGTACTGTGTGTGTACTCAGTGTCAGTCTCTCCCCCTCCCAGAGCTCGCAGGGTGACTGTCTCCAACAAGAGAAGACGAAGCCCAAAGGCCCCAGAGGAGCCAAAAATCAAAAAGAAACCTGGACCCAAACCTGGCTGGAAGAACAAGTTCAAACCTAAAGGGTGTGTAGACACATTTGTCACAAGTGGAGTCCTGCATTTTCTTAAACACACAAGTTAAACTTTATTTAAATGTGTAATTTATTATTAATTTCACTTGGAAGCAACAGATTATAGTTTGTTAAACTGTTTTCAGTCTGTTTTGCTTTAGTTCATTTTAGTCAGTGGTTGTAGCTCTGTATGCCTAATACAGTACATTAACAAACTTCTGTTGTGTTTTTGTTTTAAGAGAGGAGCTGCCCAACATCTACAAGTGTCCGTATCAGGGTTGTACCGCTGTGTATCGAGCTCCTGACGGTTTGAAGGTCAGAATTCACAGACCCTGACACCATGTCACTAAATGTTTAGTAACTGGATCAATATACTACTATTAGGATAGTATTGGGTGTCTGGCCTACAGCAAGCTAATTTCACTTCCGTTTCTACTGTAAAATAATTATATCTCATGGTGTATAGAACCATGGATATAGTATATATATAGTGCATAGTTCATGGTATATTTTAATCTACTCCACTCCAAGAGGAGACGCTTCTTGTCCTCTGTACTGCTCCACATACTTCACGACTGTAGAGGGAACAAACACATTGAAGTTTGAGTACTGTGTAGCAAAGTTTTTCTTTGGTGCAGCATGACTCTACAAAGCTCAGTTACTGTGTTGCTGGTGAAAAAGTGTTGACTTATCGTGCTCTGCTCATATTTACAATGAACTATACACGACTTTATGAATCAGTAAAAATGAATGAGCAGTTGGTATTTGACACCTGTATGAAGCCGGCTGTTTCAAAGTCTAGTTTCTCCTCTGGTGGATTTTTAGAAGCACATCAAGGAACATCATGAGGAGGTGAGAGAGCGACCCTGCCCCCATCCTGGCTGCAACAAGGTTTTCATGATCGACCGCTACCTGCAGCGACACGTCAAGCTCATCCACACAGGTGAGGTCAACAAAGGTTTTAGTTTGTTTTTTAGACAGTGTTTTATCAGCAGAGCATTAGTCATGTTTTCATGTTTATTTTTAGCTTCTGCTAATGTCTGTCCCCTCTGTGTTTCCAGAGGAGAGGAACTACATCTGTGACCAGTGTGGTCAGACCTTCAAACAGAGGAAGCATCTCTCAGTTCACCAGATGAGGCATTCAGGAGCCAAGCCACTGCAGTGAGTACTGCCATCTCAAAACTTCAATTATTATATTTAATTTAAACCACATGATGAAATGAACCGATTCTTCGTGTGATTCTTCCATGTTTCATGGTTCTTCTCACCATTAATTTATTCAGAAACAGATTTAACAGTGGCCCTGTTCAGACCTGCATGAACATGCGTCTTCAGTGATCTGATCACAAGTGGTCAGCTCTACGTTTGTCAGTTTACACCTGGATTTGAAATGCGTCTCCAGTGACCACCTGTGATTAGATCTCACTTCCTGCTCTATATGTAAATAAACGGGTATATGTTGTTGTTTTTAACCAATCCAACAGAGGGGTCTGTTGTCAGTGTGTGTAGGCCTATTAGTTTGTGTGTGTGTCTGTGAGAGAAAGAGAGCGAACAAGGCACGGAGGGGTTGAGTGAATCGTAGCTCTACAGTGAAATCAGGTTTTATCCAGTTGAAATAGTAAAATATTTCCGGTTCATTATAAACTGTGTTGGGACTAATCAGACCGTGACAGAGGACGTCAGTAGAGGAGCTGGTCCTTCAGTGTGGTCCAGGACACATTCACGTTCACACTGCTAGAAGAATGTGTCCACATGTGGTCCAGACCACCTCTGAATGTGGTCTCAGGCCCTGTTCAGACCTGGTATTAACCTCCGTCTCAGGTGATCTGATCACAGGTGTTCAGCTCTAAGTTCAGGTGTGAATGCACCAAAGATGCTTTGACCACTGACCACTTGTGACTGGATCACTGAAGGCTAACCCTAACCCTATGTTAATACCAGGCACTCCAACAATTTAGTACATTACATAAATCTGACAGATTCACAAGAGACAGACTTAATATAAATAAAGCTCAAAATTAAAAATGCGTAGGCTGACACATCCTGACTTCCCTAGTATAGCCCAAATTCTAAAAATAATAATGCAGTGTACCAGTGTCTCATATTAGACCCTTCATACCTCTGTCAAACACATCAGGGATTTTCTCTCAGACATGACAAAGCTGCTCCAGAGCCACACAAGACTGTATAACTACAACTAAACTTCATGTATAAAATCAGCAGAATGATTCTTAAAAACAAAAACACATGACATATTAGAAACGCTCTTCATTTCAAATTGTTTCTCTCCTGCAGGTGTGAGGTGTGTGGCTTCCAGTGTCGACAACGAGCGTCACTAAAATACCACATGACCAAACACAAGGCAGAGGCCGACCTGGAGTTTGCATGCCTGATATGTGGGAAGCGTTTTGAGAAACCCCACAACCTGAATGTCCATATGTCCATGGTCCACCCACTGACTCAAGTTGAGGCTCAGAGAGGCGGCAGCCAGCAGCAGCAGCCGTATTCTGACTTGCACACCATCACACTGACCGGGGAGGTGGTTCCGCAGGACCAGGACAGATGACAGCAGGGAGTTCAGGTCCAGGTCTGCTGCAGGGGTACATAAACTGTGGGACAGGGACCAGTTCTGACAACCTGTACTGTGGTTTTCATTTCTTTACATTCACTTCATGGACTGGGATGGGACCCGAAACAGAAGTTTCATTTTAGTGGATAGTGACCAATCTACTGACAGTTAGCATCAAGCCACCTCATGGTCGGCTGTGATTCTTATTCCAGAATGAATTTATTTCATTGTCAGGACAATTTCCGACCAAGGAAACCACATGTTTAGGTTTTAGCTTGTTTTGGGGGAACACGTGTATCACTGACAGGCGCTGCAGTGTAACCTGATGCTTGAGAGTGAAGGCTGTAACTTTGTCACAGTAAGATATATTCTACTAACAGATTTTAAGAAATTCAAAGTTGTAATCCTTAAAATTTTATTTCGGTCTGATTTGGTGACCCCTGTTGCTACCATGGTAACATGGTAATACTACTCTCAATGAGTAGTTACTTAGAAATACAACAGAAGAGCAGCTGGTTTTTCTGTTTACAGAGCAGCCAGGCAAACATTTAGTTAAGTCTGCACACAGTGCCAGTAGTTTGTTACTTGGCTGAGGAGTTGGACGTATATGGCAACTCTTTATCTAACAGCTCGCTGTGGCTGCTCCTGACTCTTCATTACCCCGAACAGTTTTCACAATGAATCTGATGTCTAAAAACAACCAAAATGACTCGTTCTGTAGACGCATTTTTGATGAACAGTTGCAGTCAGCACTGTGACAAATACACTGTTTCCTGTCACTGCTTCACAATAAAAGTCAACCGGCGTTTCCACCGCTGAATGCTTTTAATGTGAAGCATTAGCAGTAGGAAATATTGGGTTTGTATTTGCAGTAACTTAATATCTCTGATGTGTTCAAAGGCTGCAAGGCTGATATCAACAAAACTGAATTACATACATATAGATAATTACAGTGTTCATATATTGAATGGCTATTGCTGAAAAAACATGAATAGTATCAAAAAATTTGACTGAATTAAAATTTTATGGATTATAATTTTTTAAAGAAACAACCACTTCTGGTGCCTCTGATACAGATTATTTTACACTGCCTATGAACCAAATGGAGCTTTTTATTTCAGAGCAGCAGCCACGTATTAATGACTGTGTAACCTACATAGATGCAGTTTTAATTCCTATAATGTGATACTCTTGTTATCCAAATACATGTAAAAAATGGCCTGTTACCTCCTCACAGTGCAAAATGATTTCCAAGAACATACGGTTCAGTTTTCTTAGGTGAGTTTTTTGTTCTTAAGTTATTACAGTGCTCAGTACATTTTTAAGAGTTTATCTCTGTATTGTAAACAACAAAAAGGGCTTCAGATGTACATGTGTAAAGTTGTGTGTGCATTATGTACAAAAAGACGTAAATAAAATGTAGGCGTTTTTTACAAAGCTGAGTATCAACACTTTTTTAGACTTTACAGTGAAGTAAATATTACTGAGGAACATGTTTCTGTTGGATTGCAGCAGCAAAGAACCACCAAACAGAACCGAGTGTATAGTCAGTTACAATGACCGTCAAAGAGACACCTCTAAAGCTCAGGGGAGCGGATAAGTCTTTAGCCAGATTCTCTGCCTCAGTGTCAGTCCTCAGCTGTTCAGAGGAAGTCCATCTCTGGGCTCGAGTTCTGAGGGTTGAGGTGCACAGAGAGAGCCGCTGCCACCTCTGGGTCCAGGTCTGCACACTGGGACTCCAGCTGAACCAGGAAGCCCACCAACAGAGAGACCCCACAGGGAGAAGTGATGAAGAGAAAACACCAGAGTGAAGAGAACAGTGAATGTTGTGAATGGAAGATTTTACCATGAGGGGAAATGCAGGTGTTCAGGTGTGTTGGTTACCTGTCTGAGTTGGCTGGAGGACAGAGCAGCAGGAGACATTTGTGAGATCACTCTCAGAAGAAACTGCTTGGTGTGCTTCAGAATCTGAGAAGGCGCCAACTGACAATACAATGTATATATTTGATTTCAGAGCAGTGTGACAGGTTTGAGTGCAGTCTGACATGAACAGAGAGTACAAACTATCACCTGAGGCTCAGTCACCTGCTCTTCAGGGGGTTCGACGGCTGGTGTAGGTGTGTCCCCCTCCAGGAACAGCTGCAGCAGACGGATGTAGCAGAGGACAGCAGTATGAAGGAACCCTGGACAACGCACAGCTCTGTGCAGCAGCTCAGTACTCTGCTGGAGCAGCAGGCTGGAGCGTGCACACACACACACACACACGCACGCACGCACGATATATATGTTTTACAAAGTACAGTTGCAATAAGAATATGTAGTGGCCGATTGCTAGAAAAGCTGCACTTGTTACATCATTTGTAAAAACTTTCTATCTATTGCTTGACTGACCAATTCAATTCAATTTTATTTGTGTAGTGCCAAATCATAACCAACAACTCAAGACACTTTACAGTACAATATTACAATATTATGGAGAGAAACCCAACAGCTCCCACAATGAGCAGTACTTGGCAACAGAAACAAACTCAGGGTGGGGGGGTGTTGTAGTGGCAGATCTGGATCCTGCATCATCCATTTCCATGTGAGCAGAAGAAGTTCTACAGTGAATCTAAAGCTTGAAATTTTCCTGTTTAGTTTCATGTTTAATGATGTTCTTGAAAGCTTACCTGTAGAAAGCCCAAGGCATCAGTCGGGTAAACTCATCTGATATCACCATGGTAACTGACTGATAAACACCTTGTTCTAGATTTGGAGGGGAAAAGATGCAGCACATGAGTTTTATAAAGCAAAATATACACAAGACAAAATCATTTCATGTCAGTGTAACATTAGATTTAATCAGACACATGATGACCAGCAGGTTAAACTGATGTTCACTACCAGCCGAGAAAGGCTGATCATGTGGAGTGAACTGAGGTGTGAAGATGTTCACTGTACCGTTTGGCTTAAAGATGAGCAGCCAATCAGCAGAGTCCACCAGCACAGATAGAAGGTCTGTGCATAAACTCCTGGCTGTTTGATTGTTTTTCTCCTAGAGACAAAAAGAAAAAAACATAAACCTGTTACTCCTTCAGCTGTGGGAGGAGCAACAACAAACATTATGTTCAAAGGTCTTACTGTGTCATATTGTTTCAGTGTTTTGTTGGAAGTTTAAACTTTGTAAACATGATGAACTTTGACCTGAGGGAGAGTGAACTCTGCAAATAAATGGTTAAAATCTTTAAATTATCTTTAAGGAATATTCAAGAGTTTTGGAGACACGCTAGATGAGACAAAAAAGCAAACTCAAAGCTTATTCTCTGAGCCGCATGTCAGGACTTCTTCATTGTACAGTTTGTTACATGTTTGTTACATCTGTGGCAGGAGTTTCTATTTGGCTGTGTTGATTTTATTGCTGTGTATTTTCTCATGTGTATGTCTATATTTTTATATTTTGTCTTTCATTGTGAACCACATTGTGAGTTTACTAGTAATAAAACGTGCGATACAAATAAAATCCATATTGCTATGATTGACTCCAGTCTCATATTTGTACACTGAATATGACGCAGCTTAGCTTAGCTTAGCATGAAGCCTGAAAAGAGAGGAACATCCATCTTGGCTCTGTCATTGAGGTTTCTTGACCTATGCTCGGCCTCCAGGACAAACCTGTCTCTGTAACTGCATATAAATCCCAACTGCTGCACAACATCTAACCTAAGGCTCAACACAACCTGCTGGTGGATACTGTACGGGGCTGCATGTGGTCAGATACCTGAGGACACAGGAGTGCTGACAGATAGTCGTTTACACACAGGAAAAGCAGGAAAACCAGCACCTAGAAGAAGAAATGAGACAGCAGCAGGTAAATATGGAAACAGAGGAAAACAGCCTCTGATCAGAGGTCAGTCTGGGTCAGCTGGTGTGTCTAAACCACCACAAAAGATAATGGTTCCAGCAGATTCTGACCTAAACAGCGTGTATTCTGTACCTATATGACATAAATTCAATGTTGTTCATCATGATAGCATTATAATAACTGTAGCTTAGTGTACATGAAGGTTTTGAATGGAAACAAATGTACAAACACAGGTTGGTTTGGACCAACATGAGTATGAGTAAGTTTTAAACTCTCACCTGTCGGTGCTGTGTGTCCCTCTCTGGTCGCAGCATGTTCATGGCCGCACTGAAGCCCTGGTTGCCCCCCCCACGACCTCGCCAGGCAGAGCGCAGGCTGGAGGCCAACAGCAGAGCTGGAGCTTGAGGCACAGGCAGTGATGACAGGCCATTTTCTAAACTGAACACCAGAGAGAATCAAAAGTCAACACAATGGGAGCCAACTCACACACAAACCACCAGAAAGAAAAACTGACACCGAGAAGCTGGATGAACCAGAACACTGACAGTTAAATGTCTGAGGAATGACATGGACTGAGGTGGATCAGAAGCCTTGTGGAAGAGAGGAGAAACGTCTTCATGTATCTACAACCAAGTCAGAGACAGAGTGAGGATTGACCTGTGTGCCCACAGCTGACAGTCAGTGAGGAGCTGCAGCTGCTCTGGTAGAGGCTCTCCATCACACACACGACTCCACAGCGACACCAGCACCGGAGACAGACACTCCCACCAGTGCTACACGCACACACACAAACAAAAACATTTCAAGATAATAACCATTTCATGATATGAAATTTTCAAAATAAGGCAATAACTATATCCTGATAACTAAATTTTTAAAGCTTTAATTTTTCCCTGTTACCCCAGTCTCAGCAGGTCAGTTAATTTTTATATTGAACCTTTAAGATTTACATTTATAAAAACTAATAATGGGGTGAAAACCTTCCAACTTTTGACACTGTAGTTTCATTTTCCTTAGGAATCTTCTAGAGTTAGTCTCTATGTCTTGAAACAACATAGAAAGATGCTGCATGAGAACCAAGAAAATTAAGCTTGATTTGAGGAAATTCTTCAAAAATTGAGGAAAAATCAAACTAAACTGGCAGATTTTACAGAGTCCATGGAAAACAGTGGCTTGCCAAGTGGTGCAGAGACAGAATAACGTATTTCAATGGATTAAAACCTTGAATAAAGCGGTTCTGGAGGTGAATGAACATCAGACACAGGAATAAGAAAAATATTCTTTCAAACCTCACTAATTTCAAGGTCAATCACTAATAGATTAATATTTTTGAACAATGTTTTCGGTGGATTCTCCCTTTAGTACCGGCTCAGAGTAACAGCTATGAGAAGATATTTTGACTCGTCAGAGCAGTAAAGGCACAGGTGTTACTTAAACCCCTTTTCCACTGGTCAAAAAAACCCGCTAAGACCCGCTTACATTGGGCTTTTGCCGGCAACGGAAAAGGGTTCAATCGGCATTGTGTGTGTGTTCTGTAATGTGCATGTGATGACGTCACTCCTTGCAGTTGTGTATGTCTTCAGTCTGAATGGAAAGGCAAACTCATCTGGCAGTGGAAAAGAGGTTAACCAGCTTTTTTAGCGGGTTTACCTGCTTATACCTGCTAAGTTTGTTGGTAGGGTTGAAGTGACAGTGAGCAGGACCCTGAAACTGAAGCTGCCATCATTCATTTTATAAATCTTCTGTGACATTGAGATCAAAATGTTTTCCACGCAAAAGACCTGAAGTATCAGTGTTTGTAATTGGCCCTTGTAAATACTGGTTGAATCCAATGAATGACTCAAAGTGAGCATGTAAATGTTAATTAAGTTCAGCTGCTGTGTGGAGAACAGAAAGTACCACTGTGGAGGTCAGGAGCAGGGGACAGTGAAGACTGATCTGAGACCAGGCCTTATTCACTTCTGTCCTGGGACATCCGCAACACACACTGGCACATAACACACCCTGGAGAGGAAACACAGTCAGCAGACATGCTCTTTGATAATGATAATGATAATGATAATGATAATGAGCTCTATAAAAAACAGTGAGAAATATATCATAGATTTTATTGATCTTTAGATTTTAGTGAAGTGATTCTCACTCTCAGGAAGTGTGCTGTTACATGGCGTGGCAGCAGGCTGGCTGGAGAACACACCTTCCTCTGATGGACAAGAGGAAGAACAGACAAAGTCAGAAAAATTTGTCACGCACAATCACTGAACTTCTTGAAACAGCTGATCAGAGTCGGGAGAGAAACGTATCAAAATCTGATTCAGCCGCTCACCTGATGCTGGTTGACATGTTCCATCACTGTGTTACAGTCCAGAGTCGTCCTCCCTCCTTCAGCCTTCACCTTGACAAACAGCACCGCTGGGAGAGCCAGCAGCACTCTGTCAGACACACACATGCACAGGAAGGTTTCAGTGGCTTTACACAAAATGAGATAATCCACATGGTGTGTTTGTGTTTGTGTGTGTGTGCGTGTGTGTGCGTGTGTACCTGTTCCATGTGTTCAGTGTGTGTTGCAGGCTGAGCTCGGAGCTGACACTCAGTGAAGCTGAGCTCACTGTAGAGGAGCATCTCTGAGACACAAACTCAAACAGGAAGTCACACACATCAGCTCTGTTGCTCCAGCCGCCAGAGACGCTGGTCACTTCCATCTCATAGACGAGCTCCTACACACAGTGATTGGTTTTCTTTCAGATTCTGATTCAACTTTACCTTACTGAACACTTCTTTCTAGCTCAGCTCACTATGAATGTACAGTATTTTAATCCAAACATCACACAAACTGTTTTTTTTTAACTTGTGACACACACACACACACACACACACACACACACACACAGTGAACACACACCTGTAATCTGGACAGGATGTCTGGCAGACAGGTCCCTGTGGCTGACACTCTGTGATCTGACTTCATCACGCTCTGGTCACTGTGAACATAAAATACACAGAAGAGTTACATTTAAGGTGGAAACAATAATGTACATTTACTTTTCTTACAGTAGGTTAAACAGAGGAGAAAAGTCTGTTATATTCACATATAAGTACAAGCAATCAATAAGTGTCTTCTTACATTTTTCTTTATATTGAACATAGACATTTCAGGCTTTGTGTTTGCTGTAATTTTAATCTTTTTTGTGCTGCTTTTGTTTTTACACTACACAATGTTTTGACCAAGAGGAAACCTCCGAGGCTGAATATGAAGCCAACATGAAAGTACCAAAGATTGCAAGTGTGCTGAAGTACACTTGGACATCAGCACATTTTTATACCTAATGAGTAAAAACATTACACTACATGTTCTTCAGGTGTCATTCATGCTTCCTCTTGTGGACGGCTTCTATTGAAAAGACTTCTTTTGACCCAGACTTTGACACATTCTATTATAATTCATAATAACAAGTTCCCATGTGTGTATTGAGTAATTACCTTTAACATGCAAGATACTGTTTACGTGAATATGTGCACCCACCTGAACTGGTGGTCCATGATGGCACAGAGGAGATGAGAACAGAGGCTCTTCATGTCTCCTCCACAGCCTCCCTGCTCCTCCGGCCGAGACCAGTACAACTCCAAGCAGGCCCACTGCTGGTACTCCTGACTACACACACACACACACACACACACACACACACGGTTGTGTTACTATGTGTATATTGATTTTATATCTATTGTATGTCTAATAGCAGAGAGAGAGAGAGAGAGAGAGAGAGAGTGTGTGTGTGTGTGTGTGTGTGTGTGTGTGTGTGTGTGTTTCCTGCCTTACCGTTCTGGGTCAGACAGGGCGTCTTCACTTCTCTGTACTCTGAGCTCTTTAACCAGCCATTCAGAGAACAACAACTTGACAAACACAACAAAGGTTGATAATTACTTTCCGTCAATAAGATCAATCCATCAGTCAATTTCATTTAACATAGTAATTGAAGTGACAAAGCTACTGATTGCTCTGAGTATGATACACCTGTTCACTGAGCAGAGGCTTCGTTCAAAGCAGGAAAACACACGAGCACCTCACTGGGCTCCATCTCACCTGATACTCTGGTATGTGTTGTAGCTGCTGGAAAGCAGTGTGCCTCCACAGATACCAAGCTGTGTTCCTCCAGGTGCTGTTGGTGTCTGTGGCACTGCTCCACAGGCCCGGCAGGTTCTCCTCCTGGTTCTCAGCCACCAGACCATCGGCAGTGACGGGAGTCCTTCTGGTCTCAGGCAACAGTCTCGGGATGAGGTACAGAAGCTAAACACAGACACACAGACACATGAAGCATTTAAGTAATAAACTATTATATTATAATCAAATATAATATCATATTATATCATATTACAATATGATATGTTATTGATTAGTATTAAAGGTGCTAATCAGTGAGGGTACAAGGCAGTCATTTGGATACAGGAAGGTGATGGTAGCAAGCTGTATGTAACAGTTGACCTGCTGATACAAGATGAACTGATCAGTCAATGGACAGAAAACTGATCATTAAAAATTTAAAAATCTTCTTCACCGTTTCTCAAGGAAAAAGACCAAATATTCTGTGGATCCAGCTTCTCAGATGTGAGAATCTGCTGCTCAATTCTGTTTTAAATCATTATATCATCATCACTAACTGAATACTTTGGTTTTGGACTCTTACTATGATAAAATGTAAGACTGGTAGACTGTAATGTACATGTATCACTATTTGGACACTTTATAGTCCATCAGTTGATCAAAGAAATATTAATATGTAGTCAGTTTGCTAGGATTAGGCCTTTCCCCACTCCCTAATGTGTTTGTCCCCTGCCCTGCCCTGCCCTGTCCTGTCCTGTCCTGCCCTGCCCTGCCCTGCCCTGCCCTGCCCTGCCCTTGCCCTGCCCTGCCCTGCCCTGCCCTGCCCTGCCCTGCCCACCCGCCCCGCTCATGTCTTCATTCTCCACCAGATCATTCAGTCACATTGTGTGGTATAAATGCTACGGCCGACCTCTGCTCGAGTATCTTTGCCCTATGTTTTTCAGACTTCTCGGTAACCCAGGTCCAGATCCCTGCAAACCTGCAGCCTGTCACATTGCCTAGCCTTTCTGGATGTTCGTCTGCCTGCACTGCTCTTCCATCTTCTGCTAGCAGCTCCCGCCTTCCCGACATCTACAACCTACTGCCAAAAACTCAACTCAAACAACCAGTTTACAATAAAGAACTAACTTTTTTCACTCTACCTGTTGTGCTCTGCTTTGTGAGTCAAGTAAAAGAAACACAAAGCCTTAGACAATTTTCTGTTAGTTGCAGTCCTAGAACAAAGGAATGCAGAAATACTGTTCAATTGTGTCTGTGGTAATGGACAGAAAAGTTTTACAGGGTTCCTGCACCATTTTAAAAATCAAAATCAATTCTTTTTAAGACCACAATAAATAAAAATTAAGACCGAACAATGTTGAAATGATTTCTTTAACTAGGACTTTTGTTTTTCTTCTCCTTTAAACAATGTTTTAAAAATAGAGGCAGAGTAGAAATCTCCGTCCATGCTGGTCATGGAAGTTCAACAGCACATAAATGAGTAAAACAGAAACACAGAAGTAAAAGATCTAAACACCTGCAGCAGCAGTATTAAAAGAACCACACCATTCATTTTGCATGTTGCTAGAAATAACTATTACTTCCTATTACTACTGAGCATTTTCTACATCCTTCTACAGAATTTCATATTCATTTCTAAATAATCAGGGGGAAAAAAATATCTGGTTTTAGTGCAGACTTTTTAGCCCTTATCAATGTGCACAATGACTTTTTCTTTTCTCTCTAAAAATGATCTAATTATGTACCTGCAGACCTAAAAACTAAGCTTGGTCTTTTAACAAAGCGACAACAGCGTGGAACAAGTGACATGAAACCGCAACACCATAATTATTATTGGCTTATTGGCTTTGTTTTTTTCTACCATTCTTATACACACTATCTGTAAATTTAATACCTACAACACATTTACGGTAAATATAAGACATTTTAAGACTTTATTTTCCTTCATTTTAATTTCAGACTTTTTAAGACTTTTGAATGACCCACAGACGCTGTTTTAAGAGTCAGGAAGTGACAGATATCATCATCCTTTTGGCAAAAGATTGGAGACAATATGGTGAAAAGTCCTATACAGTATGACACACATAATCGCTTTCTTTAGGTAACACATCAGCGTTTTCTATTCTTCCTTTGTCAAATCTTTTCTCTTTTCAGCAAATAAATGGTGGAAATATTTAACCCATGACATGAGTCTTACAGCATTTTTATAAAACACATGCAAACATTAAGGCATGAATGACATTAAGGCGAGTAACAGACAGTGATACCTTCTTATAGAGGCTGCTGAGGATGTAGTCCTGCTGCTGGTGCTGAGGCAGTGAGTCTCCTCTGCACAGCCCGTAACTCACAGCTGCCACACACAACCTAGACAGGACCAAAGAAGACTGTGAGTCCCAGCTCCAGCCCGATCAGATGGCCGCTATCACAAAACATTCAAAACGTGATGTGCTCAATAGTTACATGAGAGATATTTTTCACTCGTCATAGACCTACTGATGAGTCACCATGCATCAATATTCACATCAGCCTATAAAAAGCAACCTCACCTGACACAGGAGAGCATGAGAGTGTGTGTGCTGCAGTCCAGCGCTGAGCTGAGAGCTTCTCCAACAGGTACTGCTCCGGGCAGAATGGGCGGGACCAGCTGAACCAGAGGACTGTGGGACATGGAGGCGTGGAGGTGGACCACAAAAGCTGCCAGACCGAGTATGTGTGCAGCGCTCAGTGATGACACCTTCGGACAGAAGAGGTTTGTAAAACTGATGAGTGAATGTACTGATTCAAATTGATGTGGAGGAGTAAGGCTGCATGAGATGTAAAAAATAGAGAGACCACAGACATGAAGTGACGGACAAACACAAAGAGAAGATGAATAACGTTTAATGCACCTGGTTATGAAACAGGTCCCAGAGTCTGTGTATGAGGCTGGAGAGCAGCTGTGTGTTACCAAGAAGCACAGTGACGAACCTGGAGGCCCACAGGCTTTGTCTGGAGAGGAGAAAAACATCTGGTGTTTGTAGATAGGACACTAAATACCACTCCATACATATGTGTGATTCTTTTCAATTCCTGGCAATAATCAAATTCATCTTCTATTATTTGTTGACCTCCAAAACATTTGACCCACTCACTTATCAGGAGGGTTTGCTCGAGAAGCGCCTAACAGGCACTGGCAGAAGTTTCTCAGGATCATGTTGATGACCTGAGAGTATGAGGGAGAGCTTCATCATCAAATACATTTACATACTGGCAATATAACAACATTAAAATAAAGAAGACAATGTATTTCATCAGTGAATACTTTGACATGGAGTTCAGGGGCCAGAGGAGAGTCTATGTGAACTTTGATGACTGTTTGTTCAGTAAGCTCGTCAGGACGGCCGGGGAAGATGACGCTCAGTGTGTGTGAGATCCTCGACAGCTGGGCCAGCATCTCTGAGGACACATGACCAACATGACATGTATGGACAAGAGGGATTCAAAGAGATCGGACTCAGCGTTAGTCAGGGAGGGTGTCTGACAGACTGTGGAAGAAACTCAACATCTTACACAATATATACTTGATCTAAAAATCCCACAGAATCTTCTAGATGAAAATGCACACCACCATTAACCGTATTTCCACTATATACAGTATATTTTGCGGCCCAGCTGCCCCTCCCGAAACCTTTTACCCCCTACAGAAAATACTGCCATAACATGAAGTAGGAAACACATCTTTAACAACCTGCTTGATTTGAAGATGTCTGACAACTGGCTATATTTACCACACTTGACTACTATTTGACATTAAGGAACACAAACAGAAAACAAAAAGCTAACACTGATATTTGGATACGCATGTTGCTGAAGTTTCAATGCTCCATACAATCATAAAGACCACAGAAACTCCTCCAGTGTATACATATCATGAAAGGTTTTTCTCTTTGTTTAAAATCATATCATGCAGTCTTTGCCTTGACTACAGAATACAAAGCATGTGTGTGTTTGTGTGTGAGTTACTGTGATTCCTCTCTCCGCCTACCTCCATCATCTCCATCAACCACCAGCTCTGTGAACTCCTGCAGCTGAACTTTCAGGACCTCCAGAGGATCATCGCTGACGTCCAGACACACAGCGCTCTCTGAAAACACACAGCGGTGTAAATGTACTCATCCATTTCTCAGATATGTGCAACATTAGAGCGACAACTTTGTCATGATAAGAGAGGAGAAATAAAACATTTACTCCTGGTTAAATATTTTCATTTCTGTAAACCTGCTAAACTACTGTAAAGCAAACTGAAAACCAACCACATCAATAAAGTCAAAAAAGATTATTATATGTGGAAAAAATAAATAAATAAATAATATAATATATATATATATATTTCACAAATAAGTGTGAAAATAAAATAGAAAATCTTACAATTATTCTTTTACATTTGGTTATTTGTTTTTATATTTCCACATTTATTCTTATTCTTCTATAGATTTACTCTTTTATGGCACTCCTATGACTCCATACATGAGTAAACAACAAATGAGTATGAAAAAGGATACCCACTCTCCTGCTGTCTCTGTCTCTGGCAGGCCTCCACATAAGATGAATACTGGGCAGCAGGGATCTTGTCTGCTCTGGATACAGAAAAAAACAACCATCATAATAATGAAATTACACGATCAAATCATTACAGACGATCATTATTGGTATTGACAAGCAATTATTCTCTCAGATGCAATTTATTAAAAGAAGAAACACTGGTAGATAATTAGAGTTATATCAACTCGCGTCTATGAAACTGATGCATGCATACTGTATGTGTGAACACTGACAAAGACAAGTAACATTATGCTCATCTGATAATAACTCACTTTTTCAAAGCTTCTATGAAACTCATCTGAGTATCAGCTTTCACAGGAAGCTGTAATTAAAGGACAAGTGAACTTTAATTATAGATTTGTGACAACAACATTTTTTATTAGGCATCCTCCCCATGTATGAATGTAAGGTGAAGAGGCTCACCACTCTGGGTGTCAGCAGAGCAGGAAGGAATCGTGTCAGGAAATACGGCCTTCTGAAAATACTGTGAGAGGACACAGGTGTCAATAACCTCTCCATGTCTCTGTCTTTCATTTCATTTTCAAATCTACATGAATCATTTCATAGAAGGTAAAACAGCAAATGTACCATCTTTTTTTTTAGTACCTTCACATACTGTTATGTGTATGTGCTTCTGGTGAGCTGATAATCTAACTGCATACCTGGCCTCCATGACTGTGGCAGAGATTCTTCCTGTGCTCTCAAACAGAGACACTGCCTTATCCACATCCTGAGCAGCCTGACACTGAGGCTGCAGACACACATATATTACACTGTTATTAACCCACCATTCACCGACCACTCATCCAGAACGTAGAATAACCCATCTTCACAGCAGAAAGAAAAATCTTATTACTTTGTTACACTGTCTTCATCTTTCTGTCCTTTTAGATTTATGACCCTATATGACAGACAACAAAAATCTACAAACAATAATATGACACCTTAAATACGATTCCATTTACCTGTCAGGCACTGGTCCCACCACTTCAGTCCCACATTTGTGGTGCAGACAGTAATGAGGTGTCTCTCATAAGAACAGGAGTAAACCGAGAATGTGGACTGATCATTTGATCATCTGATCTACATTAGAGTTTTTCCAGCTGAGTGAAGAGAGTGTAAACACCTCCATGTGTTTAGGAATTTGGAGCTAAGATAGCAGTACTCTTTTTTTTAGTAGAGTAGCATTTAGCATTTTAACCATTGAGTGCTCAAAGTTGGCATCAAATGTCTGGTTAGATTCAAATTCAGCCTCTTGTTGGAAAATTGTTTAGGCAATGTTCCTGTACGGCTGCTTATGATTAGGCAACACTCAAAACTGTCACTGTTACCTGTGCTGATGCTCCACCTGCAGCAGAAAGATCCTCATATAAACCCATGTCCTCTACTGACTCCTACACACACACACACACACACACACACACACACACACACACACACACACACACACACACACACACACACACACACACACACACACACACACACACACACACACACCACAGTGGAGAAAAGTAGTAGACATTAGACAGTGGGCAAAGTTCTATTCTTTTTAAAGAGTCACTATCAAGGAGACTAACCATAATAATCTTATGTTGTGTTTCTGTTATATAGATTCAGTATGAGAAATTCTAAATAATGCTGAATTGTGATGCTGTATTGAAGACTAATTCCTTGATGTAGGAGTTTTAATTTCTACCCTTGCTCTTACCTTGAGGTCAGCCAGCCTGGTCTTGGCCAGAGCGGTGTACTCCATCAGGAGGCTGCGGTGTTTCACTGGTATATATGGAGGGTGGAGGACATGAACCTACCAGGGGACAATGACAGGATGAGGTCTAAAAAAAATCAAAGCTGGGTGATCAGAGCAGGGTTTACTCCAAATACACTAATAGTTGTTAATTATTATACCATTTTTGCTCACATACAGAATATAGAACACATGTATTTTTTCTATTTTATATATGTATTTCACTATGTTACATTAATGAATCTTTCCTCCTTTGTATCACACAACTACTTTGTGTTTGCTCACAGAGATCATTACAGGCCGGTCTGATCTAAAAGACGATATACTGTGTAACGTATCAATAATGTCCAAGTGACATGAGAACCTGCTGAACGTCACCTTGAGGTACTGTGGGGGTTCAAAAGGAACCAGGTCCGAGAGGAACTTCAACAGGAACACCAGAGATTTCTTACTTGTTGCGTGGTAGCCACTGCCACCACCAAAGGACATCTGCAAAGTCAGAGCAAGGCACTTCATGTGTGGAATGTGAGATCTGTGAACAACTAAAACTGCAACTATATCAACGGGGAGCAATGTCTGTTTGATGCCACCATTAGTCGCCAAAGTCACAATGTTCAGATTCTACACATGAGCACTTTAATCAGCACTACACTGGCTATAGAGTAATAAACGCTGTTTAAGAATTTTTTAGGATTGTAGTGAACGACAGAGAAAATTAAAAGGTGATCAATTTCAGAAACACTAGAATATTATAGAATTTTCTTTTTTTCATTTTCAACAAATAACAATAATTAACGGCCTCGTGGTCGTCTGCCTCCTCCTCTCAGACTAGTTTCAGGTTACATCCCTTATTATCCACAGTCATAGAAAATATGAAGCATATGAAAACTTTGTCATAATTGCTGTGTTTTGTGAGGTGACCTTTGACCTTTGACCACCAAATTCTAATCAGTTCATCTGTGAGTCCTAGTGAATGTTTATGCCAAATTTTAAGAAGTTCTGTCGGGGCTTTAATGAGATATCGTGACCACAAGAATGTGACGGACAGACGTACGACCTGAAAACAATATGCCTCCGGCTCTGACTGCAGCCGGCGCAGAGGCATTAAAATGAATTGATTCTAACTAATCAGTATGTAACAAGCCTGATATATCTTATTCCTCTGTCCCTACACAAATAAATTAAACTATATACACTGCTCAAAAATGAAGGGAACACTTGAATTACACATCGGATCTTGATGAAGGAATTATTCAAGTTGAAAATCTTCATGGACATTGTATAATTTGTTGAGAACAAAATGATGTAACAACGGTCGATGGAAACCGATATCATCAACCCACTGAGGGCTGGATTCACAATCACACTGAATCAAAGTAAAAAACTGAAATCACAGGCTGATCCAACTTTTGTGAATTTCATCACAGCAACTCATGTGACTCAGTAGTGTGTATGGCCCCTGCGTGCCTGTATTCACTCCAAACAACATCTGGGCATGCTCCTGATGAGTGGGCGGATGGTGTCCTGCGGGACTTGCTCCCAGAGTTGGATCAGGGCATCAGTGAGCTTCTGGACAGTCTGTCGGATGCACCGATACATAACGTCCCATAAGTGCTCAGTTGGATTTAGGTCAGGGGAACGTGAGAGCCAGTCAATGGCATCAATGCCTTCGTCATTCAGGAAGTGCCCACACACTCTGGCCACATGAGGCCTTTGTCCTGCACCAGGAGGAACCCAGGGCCACTGCACCAGCGTCAGGTCTGACAATCGCTCGGAGGATTTCATCCTTGTACCTAACAGCAGTCAGGGTACTGCTGGCTGTGACATGGAGGTCTGTGAGACCCTCCAAGGATCTGCCTCCCCAGATCATCACTGACCCACCACCAAACCGCTCATGCTGGATGATGTTACAGGCAGCATAATGTTCACCACGGCGTGTCCAGACTCTAAGAGAGAACCATGGTCTCCTGGTATCTCCTCCATGCTCTTGAGACTGTGCTGGGAGACACAGCAAACCTTCTTGCAACCACAAGTATGGATGTGCCATCCTGAGGAGCTGGACTAACCTGATTGTGCTGCAGGCACCGCCTCATGCTACCAGAACAATAGCAATAGCAAAACACAAAACTAGAGAAGAATCAGTGAGGAAGGATCAGGAGAGAGCAACTGTCTGTGGACACCACATGTAAAACCATCTGATTTTTGGGGCTTGTCTTGCTGTTGCCTCTCCATTGCACCTGTTGTCACTTTCATTTGCACCAAAGCAGGTGAAACTGATTCACAATCACTTGTGCTTCCTAAATGGACAGATTGTTATCCCTGAGGTTAAACTGACTTGATGTTCCCTCATTTTTTTAAGCAGTGTATTTGTGACCAGGAAATTTATGTCTTTAGTAGGAATCAATGGGGTTACGCAGGGAGGTCAGACAGTGCTGAGAGAGGGGTGAACACGTTGTTGGCTTTGCTCATGTCATGCCATTTGTTGACGAAAAGAGAAATGTAGAATAACCCCGTCCTTATCCTTTAAGAGACTCTTTGGTTAAAACCCTGCTGTTTTAAAAACTGAGATGAAACCTTGAACCAGTCGCTGTAGGAGGAGAAGATGCCTGTCCCCTCCAGTGCAGCCTGCCGAGCCAACAAAAAGGCAGTTATCATGTTCTCCAAGTCGTAGCTTTCGAATGCAGAACTCAGCAGTCTGGACAGCAGCTCTAACGGAGGCACAAACAGAGTAGAAACAAGCCATTTATTGACCACACAAAATACTGCAATTTAAAATTTGAATCCAAGAATAAACGTATCACTAAAGGCCAGTTGCTCCCTTGTATTTACCTTTGAGGCTGGGCGGGGCGCAGGGGTTGTAAACCAGCAAAGTGGACAAGAAGCACAGGACGTGTTTCCAGTTGACCTCATGGGTTTCCAAAACCTGCTGCAGGTGACGCAGCAGCTGCTCCACACTGAAGATCACAGCCAGCTTTTACAGAAACACAGCAACAACACAGTCGAGTCACTGTTCGCTCTATTGCGATCGACCCTGGCTACAGATCTGAGGACACAAAAAGCACTTTTTTTTTTCAAGGCTAGGCTCCTTATAGAGCTGTGAAACCAAACAGAAAAGTGTTACTCTGAAGAAACCAGGATCAGAATACAGCAGCTGACTGACACACTGTCATATATACTGTAAGTAAATCAGTACTCTCAATACACCCTTGCTCTGGGCTGAGGGCCGTACACCTGAAGCCTGTAGTCATTTGACTGCTGTTGTGTCTGTCTACAGCTTGAAATACAGGAATGACAATGACTGTGTGAAGCTGCAGAAGAGTGAGGCTTGTTGCTGCTAATATAATGTGTAGTTTCAATTAATTGCTTCAATTAATTAAGGAATGAAATGTAGAATTCCAATTAATGTTCCCCAAAACAAATTGGACAAGATGATCTCTAGATTCATTTGGAATAGCAAAAGCCAAGAATAAAAGGTAGCACTTCACAATAAGACTACTCCTATAAAGGATTTATAAATGGTTTATAATTGGGTTATTAATTCAGTTGTTAAAGCTTTATAAATGATAAATAAACAATTATATTATCATACATTCTGATGAAGCAGCAGGTGCAAATGCTGGATGACAGAGAAAACAAAAGAAAGCTCAGTAACTAATGCGATATGAGGCTGAACAGTACAGACACATGCGGGCTCACTATTTGGCAAGGAACAGGTCACTGTTGCTCTTTTTATTTAATGTGTTATGACAGCTTAATGATTTATAAAGTGTTAATAAGCTAATTAATAAACTAGTTATAAATCATTCATAAGTCCTTTATAAGGGACGTCTTACTGTAATGTGGTACTAAATAAAAAACTGCCCAGAAATAATGGGGGAATGGCTCTACTAACTCTTAGGGAATATTTCTATGCTCTCAACTCAGACCTCTGGGCTGTTGGTGTACACCTGACTGTGTGTCTCCATGGAAATAAACGTAAAGGGAGATACAGGGTTACCTGACCCAGATCTTGATGGGGGAGAAATATTTGATAAGGGCTTTGAGACATGTTATAGATCCAATAGTAACATTTATGCTAGAAATATGGAATGTTATAGTAGAAAAATAACCAAATTAAAGAGGGGGGTTCCCATCCTGAGCTGGTCTGCATATGACTAAAGCCAGGGGTGCATATCCAATATTCAAAGAATGGGCACAAAAAGGTACAAAAGCAGTGTGTATAGTCTAGGAAGTTTTTTAAAGGCAAAGTATAGTCTCGAAAACAAAGATTTTCTTTTAGAAATTTACAGATGGATGTGAAATCCAAAGGCAACAGTGACCGTGTACAAAGCTAGATAACAGTTTAATATATACAGACCATGTCACATGTGAAAAGCCATTTTAATCTTGGCAAACTTCATCACAGTATATGTGACGGTTTAGATAACACTCACTTTACGGAACAGAGAGGTCAACGACCGGCTGGCTTTTGCAAAGGTCCACTTGTTCTGCAGAGTGATGGCATCTGACACTGAGAGAATATACAGTTGATTCACTCAAGGTTTTTTTAGAAATTCCGTTTGTTCTCATTATGTGAGGAGCATGTACTGTGTATCAGGATACTTATTTCAAAGTCCTCCCAAAACCAACATTTTCTGAGCCCATTTGAAGCTCTTGCCGGATGAGTGTAGGCAAATATAGGTATCAACATTATCAAGAAAAAAACAGCAATAAACTGGGTGATATACTTAGGTGATATCCAAAATTGAATATTCAGTCCAGCAAAATATCCATATCATTTCCAATATTCTGAAAAACATTGCATATGGACAGAAATATAATATCAGCCCAAGTCTATCTATGACTTGTCTTTACCTGTTAGTCGGGGCTTGTATGTGAGTGTCTGAGTGAGGGAGTGTGTGAAGAAACGCTGGAGGGCTTCCGTTGACGCTGAAACTCCACATAATGAAGCATCAAATATTTGAATCCTACACAAAACACAGGGCAGAGAGGTAAGAAACAGAGACATCTAATGCTGCACATTTTCACAATGCTCAGGCATTTTGGATAAAAACAGGACAGTTAACTTCAATGCTACTGACCACAGTGTCTTGTGTTTAATTACAGTCAGTGTTTTCAAGTTACATATGTGTATGCTTTCTCGGACGTCCTCCATGTTTGAACGAACAGCTGAATGCTGCAGACAGTCTCAGGTGGTCATGACTCAGTGTGTGAAGCATGCAGACTGAGCTGAGTGGGCCAGTTACTGTCGCGTTTACACTGATTTAAGTAAAGTCTGATCATAGGTGCCAGGTGCATTGCTCCAGCATTTCAGGACCAGACAAGCACCGAAGGAATTTTCACACTCCAGTGCCAGAGTTTACGGAGACCTGCGCACAACGGAAAACTCATCCAGTCAGCTGCCGTCCTGCTGGATTAATGTGTTCTGAAAAAATGTGGCGAAGTTACCAGAGCGGCAACAGGTCTGCACAGAAAATCTCGAGTGGGCATGAGCTGAAAACTGGACATCAGATGGAACCACAAAATCCTGGTTCCTGTGGCCCAATACAGGAGCTGCATCCTTACACAGGAGCTCATCATAAGTTACAGGCCAGTGACCACATTGTCTTTAACAGATATTTGATGTCAATCGACCGAAAATTAATCGATTCATCCTTTAAATGATTTTTCAAGCCAAAATGCAAAACATTCTCCAGTGCCAGCCTCTGAACTATGAGGATTTCCTGCTTTTCTTTGTCCTTTGAGATAGTAAACAGAGTCTTTAGATTTTAAATTGTTGGTTGGAAAAACAAGTGATCTAAAGATGAGACCATGAATTTTCACTGTTTCCTGTTATTTTATAGACTGATCGATTAATCAAGACAATTACCCACAGATTAATCAATTAACTAAAAACAAAGGTGAGCTGCTAGTTACAGACCTAAACTAGATCGAAGGTCAGTGCAAGGTGTAAGTAATAGAATCCAGATATATACTTAGAAATCTGGAGCCAGCTGCACAAAACAACCTTAAGTCTTCTCCTTAAGACTTCCTTAAAATGTTCACTTAAATATTTAAGGTTTTCCTCCTTATCTTGGTTTTATACTTAAGGAATCCCTTAAAGCCAGTTAAACTGTTGGACAAAAGACCTTAGAAACCATAACTTAATCAAACCTTAACTGCAACATGACTGAGTTCACGGTGATAAATGAAGAACATGAACACATCCCAAGAAGAGTGGGCGAACCCAACGGACCCCATTAACAATGAGGAACTGATTCTGTATCGCAGGTTTGACCGGCAGTCAATTTCTGATTTGTCCGAGTTGGATCACTCTACTTTCCGCACCTTCATGAGCTCAACTGTTTTAGATAACATGATCTTTCTGGTCAGGTACAGTCGAGGTGTTTCATGTCCACAGATCAGCGGTGTGCCGGGTCACTCACTGAGTTTAAAGTCTCTGACTGTCCGCTGAACCCTGTGAAGTTCCCGTCAAAACAACAGGAGGATGAGATAGCAGTGCACTCTTTTAATGTTGCTGTCTTCCCACAAGCTAATGTCAGCAAACATTTCCATGGAAACAGTAGAATTTTACTGCTGTAAAAACTCTCTCACTGCTGTAAATTAAACCTTTTAAGAGATTCTGTCAACACCCTCAAGTAACTCTCTCAGCTACGGAGAAATTAAACCTTAGGTGTTAAACTTAAGTAGGAAATTTAAGGTGTTTTGTGCAACCGGCTCCTGGTTCTTCAGCACAGAACATCATAGATACAGGAAGTGGTTCAATAAAAGTTATAAGGATATATTCACCATAGATCTGTTGCTAGTTGTGCAGCATGTGTTGGAGTGAAACCTCTTGCACTGTTAACTCAGGAACCACTCAACTTGGCTGAGTTTCAACTGGTGTTAACCACTTGATGTTTGAATGAATGTTTGACTTTGGCTAAACCTGAATGTTCAGTTCCTGTGACAGACCCACTGACAGGGAGTTAATGACTCCATCCTACCGGGAGTTAAAGGAATATTTCAGCATTTTGGGAACTACACTCACTTTCTTTCTGAGGGTTTGATGAGAAGGCCAATACCACTCTTTTATCAGTCCATTAAATAGGAAGCTACAGCAGGAAACAGTTAGCTTAGCTTAGCATAAACACTGTTTAAAGTGGGTTTATGTGCCTCACTATATCTTGGGCAGGCGCAGTAATTTCCCGGACTTTACGTTCATTGCCTGGAAACCTGTTCTAAGTATTATTTTGATTGTGCAGGCTGGTCATTTGTTATATTGAATGTTTTCTTTTGTTCTCAACTCAGCAAACCTCGGGGATGAGTCCATGAGAAGTCTACAAATACTGAATAAAACCATAAAGGCACCGACATGCGAACAGCACCCAGCCGTAAATCCAATAAAACTTGGTGAATCCATCAAAGATTTCTCTACTGTGGTGATTTCAGTTGGAATGGTTGTTTTTGCATTTTCATTTTCACTGGGGAAAAAAAAATGTCTGCAACTGTTTTTGTATATAATTCAATAACCTCCCTGTTCTTTACCAAAGTCTGTGTCTGTTCTGTCATGTCTTGCATTGTTTTTGTACTGGGGACTCGTTATCTGATTACATAAAGGTTAATAGGGCAAATAAAAAACAAAGAACCAAAGCTCAGCTGCCGCTCCAGCAGACTGCAACGCCTGACTCTTGTCCACAGTGTCCAGAAGCCCTGGAGCAAAAAGACAGAAAAACAATGAAATGTTAAAAAGAAAGACAAAAAAGAAAAGTACTAAAATTAGACCTCTTAGCAGTTAAAGAAGTAGAAAATAGCTTTTGGGGTCCTGAGGTGTGAATCAAAGTACTTTACTAAATATTTAATCATCACAGGACAGGGTAAGTGGGACGGGCACATGTAGACTCACAGAAGAGCATTTCATCGAGCACTGAGCAGCAGAGCAGGGAGACCCTCCTGTCTGGAGCTGCTGGTTCAGGACTCAGCTCAAAGCCAGATCCCACCAAGACTCCAACGAGCACTGGAACACAGGAGATCTCAGCTTAGCTTTATCTCATTCAGCAGGGATGACACCACAATAATAAGCTTCATATATGTCATTTAGTGAACATTTTTTCAAGTGTACGTGATACCAGGAGGGCAGGTTTTTTTGTAGCTTGGGTGGTTGACCAAGACCCAGGCTAGCTGTTTCTCCCTGTTCCCGGTCTTTATGCTACATTAAAACTGACCAGCTTTTCTCTGTCCAGGTCTCAAGAGGAACAGCTTTCAGCATTAACCTGAGTTTGTTGATGAATGATTGACGTCTTACAAGAAGCACAACTACAACTAGATGAGTGAAAGACATCTGTGAACTTACTTGACAACACTTTCTGTTGAACTTGTTTGGTGTCCTCTTCTCCCTGTGGAGGTGTCCAACTGCACAGAGCCTTCAACTGAGACACCAACCAAGACCTCACGCCTTCATCACTGAATGGAAAACAGCAACAAGAGAGCAGACTACTACTGACTACATCCACTGTGACAACAGAACTAGCAGCCAAGTGTCTGTGTCTTTTGCTGTGATTTCAGCAAAGAATAAATTATATTATATTGATCTGAGATAATAAGTTGAATTTTATAAGCAACTATGTATCCAAATAGAGATGAATTAATATTCAACACCACTGAATTTGTAGCGTTGAATGATTTTACTTTGAAAGGGTCTGGGTATCATCAGATAATCCGTGATTCATTTGTAATTTAAAGGGGGGGGGGGGCTTTTTTACAATTCACTTTCACTTTCTGTCTGGACAGTTTTCGGTTTCAAACTAAATAATGATAAAAGGAATTGCCAAAAAACCAAAATGGACCATTTTGATTGGTTTTTCATTTTTTTTATTCTGACACCAAAAACGTTTTTTTCCATTCTGGCTTTAAAACTGATTAAAGTTTTTTTGTTTTAAAATTACAAATGAATTATGGATTATCCGATGATACCCAGACCGAAAGCCGTGTTTTATGAATTTATGTGGTTTGATTTCCCATCTCTGAAATTCCCACAAGTTTTCTAAATTCAGAAACAAGATTTATTTTACAGATTCACACACCGAGAAAGAAATCCAGTTTCTCAGTTGCTCATCTGAACTTGTCTTTCTTGTCCTCAGTCTACTGTACTTTGATGGAGCCTTGGTTCAAGCTGGAATTTTCCATCATAAACTGTGTTGTCTGAATGAGTAAAGGTTTTTGAATATTAAACACATATTAAACACTTCCCTAAAAAAAAGAAACCGACAACGATTTGTTTTCATAGTAAAATATCTCAATGCTATAAATGCAGTGGTATTTAGTGTTCAGGCGCTGGTTAACTTTCAATTAAATTATGAATTCAGTTGCTTAAAAGATTCAAATCCTGAAGGACCTTCCTTTGCTTTAATAAGCTTCCATGAAAATATTGGTTCCAAAGTTGTGACATTAATCCCTGGATGATAGACGAGCTTTACAGCAGCTGACCCTGATCAACCAACAGTTTGCCTCAAACTGGATAAAAAATTCACTTTTCTTACCTCTCTAAAATGTACTTGAGAGTGAGGATGCTGTAAACATGAAGATGATACACCACCTCCAGACTGGGAAGCCGCTGTAGAAACACCACAATAGATTTTACATTTACTTCATCTATTCTGTTGTGTAAGAAATTCATGCTGAGTGACTTTACTTTTTATTGTACTATCAAGTAAGAAACAAATGGCGGTTAATGCTGAGAAAAATGTCCGGCTGTGGCAGTTTAACAATAATAATATGAATATGAATAATACACTTTATTTATAGAATAAGCAATAATAATTTCAATAATAATAAAATTGTAAGACTTAATAACAATAAATAATTTATTTTCATACGAGAGATGCAGCTCAAAGTGCTTTACAATAAGAAAATCAAATAGTACAATTAAATAAGAGCAAATAGAAGTACAATGAAAATAGATAATTGAAAGACAGTACATGATAAAATATGTAAATGAAAATAAAAACAGGAACCAGTAAGAATAGTAAAAGTTAAAAGCCAAGTTAAATAAATAGGTTTCAGCTGTTGTTTAAAAATGTTCACAGACTTTTCCATAGTTTTGGAGCATAGTTTAAAAAAAAGCTGCACTGCCTTCTTGTGTGTACGATTGTGTGTATTTAAAAGTCTGGCAGTGGGAGATGTGAGAGCTTGTGCAGGATTATAAAACAACAGAGAATCTGCAATGTAGGCCGGTCCCAAGCCCTTAAGAGCTTTAAAAACAGGTTAAAGGACCTTCAAATCTCTTCTAAAAGATACTGGGAGCCAGTGGAGTGAAGCTTAAACCAGGGTAATATGAGACCAACTGAAATAAAGGAGTGAAAACTTGGGATGAATTTTTCCAAATTAACTTCTTCGGTTGTGTTTTACTTTGACTCGTCTGTGTAGAGCTCAGACTGAAAATCCTGAACCTGTTGAGAAGTGAATACCTTTTTTAGGCCTCATATACAGTGTATGACGTGCTATAATAACACACACACCTGATCTCTCCTGTACTCTTGCCACAGCAACTTAGGGCAGAGGGCTCCCTGTGATAGCAGGTCTTTGCTGGACTCCAGGAGGACACACAGCTGGACCTGGAGAGGACAGGACAGGCACTTATGGGGATTTCATACATAACATGCTTTCTGTTCTCTGAACAAGAATCCTGCAGTAAAGAAAGACCAATAAAAGAGCAATGTTAAACCACACAAGTAACACCCAACAGGTCTGTGACACATCTGACATGCAGCTATTTTCAACTGGTAAATCAGGTCTGACACACCTGAGTCAAAATAAAAAGGAACCACACATACATCAAATACACTACAGACCCTAAATTAAAGATGCAGCTGAGCTTTTTAGTAAAAATACATTTGCCACATTTAAAAGAAGAACATGGGGCATCTATCATATGATAGTCCTGATTTAGAGGCAGCTTTTCAGCAAATTATGTACATTTATATAATATGTATCTAATTCAGTGATCTGCTTACAGATCAAGATCTCTTTGGCAAGAGAGACATGAGTACAGCAGAAGTAGAACAAACATACAAACAATCATAAAAAGCACATATACAAATAGTCAAAATTAAAAGTTTAAAATATGAAAGTTTTTAAAAATTGTGTGTAATTTGTGAATTTCCCCTCTGAGGATCAATACTGTCTTATCTCATCTTAACTAGTTCTAATCATGTGGTGTTTGGCACTGGAAGGAAGCCTTGCCTAATTCAGCATATATTTGTGGAGTATCTAGAGTTAGACAGACCTCAGGTGTGTGACGTGTCCCAGAACCAGACAGAATAGTTGTGTACAGTCTGCACTAATCACCATAGCAAACTGTATCAGCAGGTAGTACACATTAAAAATTAACACATTTCACTATTTTTTACAAACAAGAAATCAAACTACTCATGTAATGTCATACGTCAATCAACCTGCAACTTTGTAATGCTCCTGTCAATCAAACTTCCCAAAGAGAAAGAAAAATCTCTTCCTCAACATTAAATACTCTTTGTTCTTCTCTCCGTGATCTCTCTGGAGCTGTCTCACCATAACCCACAAATTTGAATTTTTTGCAACTATGAGCATCTCATCTGTTTCCTTTGTGCTTTGCATTCAACAGAACACTCAGAAATCAGCCTATATTTTTCATGTACACTGCGTTGCTTACTGTTTAAACACACTACAAACTAAAAGCCTGCACAGAATCTCTGGGACACACCGGTGGCCTGGTGAAAACAATTCTTACTAGCATAATGATTATAACCCACTGTACAGCTAATAAAGGTTTTCAAAAGAAATACTGAATTTGTCGACTAAAGATGCTGACAGACAAAGAGGGCAATGTTTTTGCTTTTGTTACTTTTCTTTGGTTCGACATCTGCAGGAAATAAAAATAAAGTTAAATTTAGATCGCAGGTAGCCTCAGCTGAAGAACCCAGGGAGAGCATCACATGTTGTACAGAGACCTGCATCATAGTTCCAGTGACAATAGCACTTACACACTCAACCAACAAACTGTTGATGGAGTGGTTGGTAAAAGTTCAGATGGTCCTTTAGATTCAAGAAATATATACAGTATATACATATATATGCAAACCTTTGCATGAGAGTTCAGATTGAATGCTCACCTTGGATTATACCACAAATAAATGTAACATCAAATCCCACCGTCAGATACTCACTCTCTGAGAGGAAGTGAGCAGCTCTCTCCTCTTGTCTTTGTCCTCCTCCTCCTCTTCTCCTTCAGTGCCAGTGATCTCCATCAGTCTCTCAAGCACCGTCTTCACGGACAGCACCACCAGCGGGACGCCCAGCTGCATGGCCTGATGCCTCAGCTCACACACTGTCCACAGGTAACACAACACATGCTCCAGTTCATAGCATTAACTTCATGTCAAAGTTGATGTTCTGAGCAGAGACCATTTTCATGCATCTCCTTTGTGGTGTATGAAAGCAACAAACCAACATCTGAAAACTTACAGTTGTCCAGCAGATAAACACTGAACAAAGATGTATGTCATGAAAAGGTTATGCAAACTTGTTCATGTCTCAAATATTATGTGTCAAGTCCTAACACACTAACAGTCCTAACACTGAGAATTTCAAACGTCCCTGTCTTCCTCCATTCTTTCACAGCTCTTTGTTTTGTCAGGACTGTATACAGCAGCAGGTGTCTCTGGGCCACACACAGAGTGACACAACTTTAGCAAAACTGATGTACAGTACAGAGTCTTACTCACCCAGCAGTGACCCCACAATGGTAGATGAGATACAGTCAGACGCTGCTGGTTTCTGCTTTCCATTCTGAGAGCAAAGAATGCTGCTCGGATCTGGATTCTGCAAAAAGTGTGAAAACACAGTAAAGATACAGTATATTAACAACATTGAATTCAGTTTACTGCTGAGGAGATTTGAGGCTGAGGCTGCTTTTCTAATTCTTTAAAATTCATTTAACACTGTATCATACAGGTATAATTCAGCCAGAAGTGCTTATTCCAATAGTGTGGGTTTTTTGTGCTTTAAAACATCTTTCATTTGAGACAAAATACAATGCAGAATACTGTATTTCCCACCAAAGTGGCACATAAGATAAATCTAGTATAATTGCCAGTAGAAGCTGCAAACCTTTGCATAGTCTTACACAAATAGAAGCACATTTTTTGCCAGTCGGACATTTTTATATATAGTCTCACAGTTCTGATATTGTCAGTTGTCACACCCTCTTTCTAAGTCCACAGATCAGTATAAAATATGATTATTATAAGGGCTTAATGTTTGTTCACTGGCTGTGCAGCCCAGTAATTTCTCTCTTCGTCCTGAGGTCACTTCACTCACCCCAACCTCCCTGAGCAGACTGCAGAGGTTCTGCTGCTGCTCCAGCAGCTGGATCGCTGCCTCCTGCAGCCGCCGACCATCTTCCAGCTTTGGCCTCTTCACCACACGACCAGCTGGGACCACAACAGGAACAACACATGATGCTTAAGACATTTTTAAAAAGTAATATAATAATATAATAAGACATTTTTAAAAAGTAATATATAGTCAGTTATAGCAAAAACTAAACTAGTTGCAAAGTATGGATGACCAGGGATGTCACAGGAAAAGTAATAAAGCATTTCCCTAATTTCATATCTTTTAAAAATAGGAATTGTAAAAAGAATTCATAAATGAACCATTAATCCACCAATAAATACTTAAGATTTAAAAATGAATTTACAAAAACGGCATAAAACACTCACTCACCATTTGTAAATACATTCATTAATTTATGAATACCCAATAGAAAACTATTTGAGAAGGCATTTTAAAAATATGAAATTAAGGAAATGCTTAATTACTTTTCCTGTTACATCTCTGGCCCTCCACAGTAAAGTCTTGGCCAACTTAAACCATGAATAGACATCACGTATTTACATGCATATACCTTTAGTAGGTTAATTTGTTGAAAGAAATGTAAACGGGGATGATTCTCTAATAAGGTTCACGTCAAAATCCAGTTTAATATATCCCTTCTAATAGTCGAAGGAGGTTAATTCGACATTTAATGACGCTTCATAAACAATAAAGTGAAATGGTCCAGTTAACAACTCACCGAGGAGGCTCGACAGAGTCCTCTCCTGAGGGACGGATTCACACGTTGCACTCACTGACATTGACAAAACGACGTGTTTACAAGACGCTTCGATAGAGAGGAGACGTCTCAGCCGCTTATTAATGTGAAATTAATTAATTAACGGTGCTCCGGAGAGTTAATTGCCCCTATTTGCTTTTTCAAGCTGTAATGTTTTGTTTCCTGTTCTCCTCCATGTTTCCCCCTCGCGCTCTTGTTTGTCATTGGTCAATTCTACAGCCAATCAGAAGAAACAAAGGTGGGACAAACAAAAACCATCCCGGAGTTTAATCCTAAATATCTGTTAATTGTGGATGTTAAAAGTTAGTTAGTTAATTTGTTTGTATGCATTTATGTATTTGTGGAACAAACTGAAGCTAATAATAGTAATCAGGGGATTGAAAAAGAGAAAAACAGATGAATAAATGATACAGAAGTCACCTCTCCTCCTCCTTGTTTTGTCAACAAAGAGGACTGAAGGTGTTGACCTGCACCCCTGACTGACTGAAGGTATGCAGCAGACAGTCAGCCTTCATTCCAAATATACCATTCCCCTATGTATCAGATAACATGATGGGATTTGTACATCTAAGCTTAAGGAAATGTTTTTATATAATATATAATGTCTGAAATGGTGCCAGTGTGTAAAACTGTGCATCAAAAGTTGTTGTTTTATGTGTCTTTTTGTGTCTTTTTAACTCAATAGTGAATAGTTGTTTTTTTTTTTTGCATCTCCTAAGAGTTTTGTATGTTTAATTAATTGCATTATTTTAAAGGTAGTAACTCAAACAGCAGGTTATTGCTGTGCACCCGTGGTAATGAAATTGAATTCCAGTGAACCTATTGAACAATAGGGCAATAAGAAGCACATCTGAAACTTGACCTGAACTCCTCCTCTGAAACATCACTAAAGAGAATAGTAGCAGGCGTTACCATGCTCTGTTATGTCATAGCAACATCTCAGCACTGAATACAATTTTTATCAGTCTACCCTGTTCGTGTCTGTTCTTTTTACATGATTTTACTCATTCTTCAGTGTAAATGTTCCTAAGATGTTGCTGCAAAAAAGCATGTGACATGTGAATAGCAGTTTTTCAATCTTATAATGTTGTTTCCCATGACTTGTGATTGTGCATTGTTTAATCTGCAAACCTACAGTTAAGAGCAGTGGAACATTATCAGTTTCCTTTTTTAAGCTGTCTGAGTTTCTATATTTTACATCTACCCCAGGAAGCAGAAAGTCTAAGTGAATAAATAATGACAGAAATGTTTTTTTTCTTTCTCCAATAGATCATAAAAGTGTCTAAACTGTCTGTCAGTGTGAGGAAGCATTCAGATGCTTTATATGAGTAAGAGTAACAACACCACAATGTTACACTGCATTACAATTAAAACTCCTTTATTCCATTATCATTATTATTTTGGCAGTTAAAAGAAAAAACAATATGTTTAGTTGTTTTGTCAATAATTGTATAAGTCACCCTTTAAAAGGGTCTATGAGTTGCAAATCGTGACTGTATTGATGGTGAATATATCATTTGTTAATGCTTTATAGAACAGCAATAAGACATTACTTAGAACCATTTCTGGGCTTCTAGGTTGTGAAAAAAAAGTCTTGTACGCTTTTAATAAGCATCAACTCTGCAGTTCTAAATGTTAATACTGTATTTAATAATATGTACAGGAAACAGTCTGGCACATCTGTGAAACCTCCCAGCAACATCACACATCTCTTAAAAGTACAAAAGTACATAAGAAAAGACACAAGACATGGATAATGAAAATACAACTCAAGTGCACGGACCATATGCACAGATTCTTCATGTAAACACAAAGACTCTGTGCAAATGGAGAGTATGTGCAAAGTCTGCAGTGGTTGCCAGTAGTGGTTTGTGTGTGTGTGTGTGTGTGTGTGTGTGTGTGTGTGGTCAAAGGGCAGTCTGTGGTGGTGGAGGGAGGGGCAGTGGGTGAGTGTCATTTATGAGCCTTACAGCCTGTGGGTAAAAACTGCTCTCCAGTCTTGTTGTCCTTGTTGTTGCCCTCCTGTAGCGTCTTCCTGGCAGTAGCAGTGTGAATAGGTCATGTTGTGGGTGGCTACTGATGACCCTGTCTGGTGGATGCTCTCCAGCGTTGGTAAGGCTGTTCCAGTGATTGACCGGGCTGCTCTCATCACCTGCCGAAGAGCCTTGTGGTCCTGTGCTGTGCAACTGCCAAACCAGACTGAGATGGAGCTTGTTTTAGCTCATTGTTTTGGTTTTCTGCAACTTTTTGTTTCACTCTTGCTAACATTGTTTCAGCTGCAGCAGGCGACTGTGAAGTCAGAAGGCCAACTGTAGGCTCTGTACCCAGAACCAAGCAGACCACAAGCAACGTTAGTGATTAGCTGGTGGACCATTTAACAGGTAATAAGTGACCATTTTATTTTTAGGAGGTGGTAGAGACCAAAAACAGATATAAAAGGAGGGTGAATATTGATGTGACATTCTCCAGGTGGCCTGAAACATTGCTCCAAATTTATGGAAAATTTGCACCAGATGTGTTAGCTAACAACTTCCCTATATCGACTTTAATGTTGAGTCAATAGCTGTTTCTGCTCTTCCCAAGTGGCCAAAAAATGGCTAAGACAATTAGCTTGTTAGCAATAATGCCTTGAAGGAATTTCTTCAAATTTGGCACGAACATTCACTTGGACTGAACGATGAACTGATTTGGTGATCAAAGGTCAAAGGTTAATGTCAGTGTGACTTCACAAAACACTTTTTAGCCATTACTCAAGACTTCACACAGCAATTATGATAAAAATTTCACACAAATGGTTCATACTTTCTATGACTCTGGATAAACAGGGATGTAATCTGAAACTCGTCTGAGTGGAGGAAGCATACAACTGGGAGGCGGTAAGTCTAGTTTCCACTGTAAGCAGCTCCTCCATTCTATTGTGTTACATTTTGGGACAGCAGTGTCCATGAACGCCACATAAGAAAATATGAGTATGCATTAAAGCTTTTAAAAGTATGCTGTTACTTTATCTTGTAACTTTCCCCATGTAAATGTGCTACAGACTAATGCACACAATACTAGGGTGTACACTAAACAGGATACGGGGCATGTAAGGACAGGTGTGACTGCAGTTTCCCCCTTTTCATAAAATAGCTCTGACCTGGTTTGAAAAGCCTGATGGACCGTGAGAATCTGCAGCTCATGTTTGCTCAAAATTGAAGCTTTCAGTGAGGTTGTGATGTGCAAGATTAAAAATCACATTTTAATGAAGTCCATCTATCCTTGAACAAATAAGATTTTGACCCATCTCAGGTGTTGCAATGGTGTATGCCACACCTTGCTACATCACACTGAGTGACCCTGACTGCACAGCAGCAGGCTCCATCTTGCCTTGGTGTGTTGGAGTGAAGATCATTCCTCTCCCTCAGTGTGCAGAGTGCTCCTCTCGCCGCAGCCACCCATGTATTTTCTGGACTTCCCAGCTTTATTGCAGCAGGCAGTAGGAAAACTGTCTCATGGGAGCCAGTGAAAGGAACTCATGAAAACTTAATGCAATGTGTCCTCATGAATTTTTAAGGGCTCTCTCTTCCTATTGTGCCACTAATGTGCAGGATAGAAATGTAAACAGGAGTGCTGATGTACAGGGCTGAGTGCAAATCTACCAGCAAGGCAGAGCATCATCAGCTGTCAGCACCATGAGCAACAACACACACTGACATCTGAGGACACACACACTTTCAGCTGTAGTGGCAGCTCTTGTCTGAATCATAAGGGAGCCACTGTCACTGGACGGCTGAGTAGGTAGGCAACGGTTTGATTAAGGACTGACTGGATCTGGATCTCAGCAGGATTTCCTGTGTGTGCACGTGTTTGCATGTGTCTGCACATGTGTGTGTGTGTGTGTGTGTGTAACAAGCGTTGTGGGAACACATATCATTATTGCGGCATGAAAATGTACCAGCTTCAATAGCAGGTTAGCTTAAACACAAAGCACCAGATATGAAAAACACCAAATTCAACCATGAATTTCATGTTTTGTCGAGTACAGGAAGAACAAACGTGATCCGCCCACTGAAAGACAAACTGTCTAGCTACTCCTGTGACTATCTCTGAATCACTGAGTGTAACTACATTTGCACAATTCAGTACATTTGCAAAATTGAAAGGATTTCTACTTTGAAACTTACAGTTAAATTATGGTCACACCAATGACTGGGAAAGAAGATTGGGAAAATTTAAGAGGGAACAAGACAGAGGAAAATGGCTTCATTATGAAAATCAAGCAAATATATGAGCTGAACCTTGTTCATAGAAAGATTTTTTTCATTCTGGATGACAATAAAATGATTTGAAAAACAAAATGTAATAAATTTAGAAATTTAAAAAGAACACTGACTTTGCCCTCATGAAAAACATCGTCAGTTGCCACTGATTGCATGGATGTGTTTAGCTGTGGTTACAACCATGTAGGTCAGGGAACAATTCTGTCCATGACACATGCCTCTGAAGGGCAAAAATCAATAGTAATCCTAAAAAAAAGCTGAAATGTTTTAATGGACGAGGGAGAGGGAAGAGGTCGTGACTCAGAGAGATCATGTTGCTATTTTGAAAACCATCATTTCCTTGTCAGGAACAAAGAACTGGACCTGCCCCTCCTATCGGAGGCGGCCACAGGAGTTGAAACGCACCACAACGGGCTGAGACTCTTCTACCAAACAACCTCAGCTCAGCCTGGAGGCTTTACAGCTGTGCTACATTCCTGAGAGCTCAGGCAAATCTGCTGGGCTCAGTCAAAACAGCAGGCAGGCCTGGACTCCCTTGTTTTCCACTACAAAACTTCCCCTCAGAAAACGTGTAAATGAAAGCACATGAAGTCTGCTGCTCTTGCTGCGTAAACAGGAAGTGCAGTCTTTACAAAGAAATGACATGTAAAACCCTTCCCTTCCCGTTGAGCGGTGTCTCAGATAAGGGAAGGTTGTTTGTGTTGATTGTGAGCTGTGAGCACATTTTCTGAATTTTAACCCGACAGTCAACAGTTCAGCTCTTGTTGAAACACAAAGCTGCCGCACTGTTCTGTCAAACAGAGAGGAAGCTGATAAAAAACTGGACCTTGTCCTCTGGTACAATAGGTGACTAAACTACAGGCATGTTACACAGATGTACAGCCCATAATGACCTTTTGCATGGTTTCTTTTTCATGTACTTTCATATACCCCTCATGTCTTCCTTTGAATCTACTCTTTGATTCAACACTGTCTCCGTTTCTCCACTGAGTCACATCATTTAACCTCTTCCTGTGAAACACTTCTCATCTCATTTACCACTACTAGTATCTAGCAGATAGCTTTTCAGAAAACTCAGATCCTTTTGGTTTCATCTGCCTCTGACACTGATGCAGCCAACCCAAACTAAGGAGGGCTGTGGTGCTTGAATCAGTACCAAAAATACATTTCAAAAATGCTTTTGAGAGACCATATTCCCAGGACTGAACAATCCACACTAAACTGAAAGCATTTTGTACCAAAGATATTATCCCTTGGAGAGCTGTTGACAGTGTGTTCTGTGGATTCATAATTGGGACACCTTTTCTGGACAGACATTTCACACTTGAGCCTTTCCACTTTTTAATAACAGCGCTAACTAAATTCTGTTCACCTCCATTGTATTGAGCGGTGGTGGAAAAAGTTCTCTTATGTGGAAGTAGCACAAAGAAGCATCTCTGAGGTATCTCTGAATTGTTCTTAGTACTTGGGTAAACATACTTAGTAAACCTCAGTAAAGGCCTCAGAGAAAGAACATTTAAAAGTTCAGCACATTAAACCAAAACGACCTCTTCTTATACAACAGTGAAAACATGTTTTTGTTTGTTTTCTGGACAAACTGGCCCTTTAAAAAGAGGCCCTGTCAGTATCTGATTTGTTATGCATGCTTTGGTTTGTCTTAATCAATCAATCAACCAGTCAATCAATATACTACACATGTTGCCGATGAGAGGCAAAGGCAACATTTAATTCCACATTTGGGATGTATGAATATATGTTTGTGGTGTTTGTGTTTCAATGGATGTGAATGCAGCTTCAGATGTGAAAAAAAAAAAAAAAGTGAATTTGTGAAATGAACCCTACTGAATATACAAATACAACCTCTGGTACCAGTAGTATTAATCCAAAACTATAATAAATATATAATATAACACAAACACACACACACACACACACACACACATATATATATATATATATATATATAAATAATGTTGTTAGATGAGCCAAGTGTTCTGCATAGGAACTTCAACACATACTGTGAAACTGTTCTTTAAATATGCTAAATACTGAACAACCATCAGTTCCTCCATCTGTGACACCCAACAGTCACTGAGTGCAAACAACCACAGCTTGTTATTCTGGTAACTTGCAGCCTGCTCACAGTTTTGTTACTGAAAACAGCCTTTCGGCAACACCGACCTATTCCACACGTTTCTCGGCTGACACAGTATGAACAAACTGAAATCTGCTTTGACAATGTTTTTATTGACTTTTTCTTCCTCTCTAATATTCAAGTACATGGATTTGCAGATCCAGGAAACACAATCAGTAGCAAATACTTTCAAAATATCATCATGTTCCCATTTGATTCACACACGATTCCTCTTTACACCTGAATCCCCCCCCCCCCCCCCGTGCTAAGACACATGGACCTCTTGTAAACATGATACAAATCAATTTTTTTTCTTTTTTGATTACAAAAAGTAATCTGGTAGAAAAATATCTTTTCTTTTATAGGTATTTCTCTTTTTAGGAATATTTACATTGAGTACCTCACAGTATAATCTGATTTAAAAAGTACATCTTGTAAAATAAACACAAAAAGGTCTCAGAGGGGTAAAAGGCCTTTGGTTTTCATGAAAAATACGAAAACAACGACAAAAGAATCACAGAAAGTCCATTCACTGTCCTGTGTACAACAACAGTGATGACTGGATTGGTGATAGTTGGGCGTCTTGTAGCCAAGACTGTGGGACACCAAATTTCCACAGGATTGAAAGGGTTCATTCTTCAAAAAGTTCAGAACAAAAAAAAACAAAAAAAAAAAAAAAAAAAAAAACTGCGGCTACAATCAAGCGTCACTCCTGGGGGCAGCAGAACCACACAACCTCCGCTGGGCAAAGTATCCAAGAACAATGAGCAACATCTCTGAGGTGCTGCTGAGGGCCACGATGAAAGGTGCCTGGGATGCGAAGTCGGCCTCCGCTCGGCGGAAAGACAGCTGCATGACGGCGAGGGCCAGCAGGCTGTTCTGAACGCCCACCTCGATACTGACCGTCTTCCTTTGTGGTGGGGCCAGGCCGGACACCTTGGCCATGACAGCCCCGACCACCAGCCCCAGCAAAGGCACTGTCACCCCCACTGCCACAATCTGGGGCCTGACATTGGCCAAGATGGATGCACCCATTTGGTAAGCCATGAAGATGCCCCCTACAATGAGCACAAAGCTGAAGGGTCGTATGAGTGCTAGCAGGACACGCGTGAGGGCGGGCAGGCGCAGCTTCACCAGCATGCCCAGCGAGATGGGGATGGCGATGAACAGGAGGGTGCCAAGGATCTTCACAAACGGCACATGCAGGGCAGCGTGCACGCCCAGCAACCGGCCGTACAGAGCTGATGACAATGGCATGGCTGCTGCCGCCACCACTGTGGAGACCAGGGTCATGGAAATAGCCAGGGTGACGTCTCCGCCAAGCAGCAGGCTGTACAGGTAGCCGCCCCCGCCACCTGGGGCAGAACAGGTGATGACCAGGCCCAGGGAGAGAGCTTTGGGCAGTGATGCCAGCTGTGACACACAGTAAGCGTACAATGGCATCAACAGGAACTGGCCCACCACTCCCAAGAGCAGTGGCACCGGGCTCTTGAGCAGACCCCGCAGCACCTCCACCTCCACCTTGCAACCAAAGGCACACTTGTTGACGAAGATGAGGGGCAGCAAGGCAAACAGCACAGGGTTCTCAGAGAAATGGGAGAGGCCACCCGACTGGATGAGCCGGGTGGCCGGGTCATCATTACCGGGCGCCACTCTGATGGAGTAGTCCGTCCTCTCCTCGATCAGAACCGGCACCGAGTCCTGGTCCAGGTCCAGTAGCTGGATTTGCAGCTGAGCCGTGCCTGGGAACCCGGAGCGGATGCTGATAATGTAGCTCTTGGCTAGACCTGTGTGGCCGCTATCCGTAACATTAAGGATTGAGAGGACCTCTGGGTCCATCGAGCGGACTGTCACCGTCTGCTTCCAGCTCTGGCGGCCCTTCCTGCTGGCCGCGGCGCTCCGATACTGGCTGGAGATTACAATCACGCCGTTGGTGTTTTCAGGAAACTCAAATTCCTGCGATGACCCGTCCCCGATTCTGATATACTTGCTACTGCTGCTGTCGGCCGTCAGGTTGGTCTGGTTGCTGCTGTCGACAGTGAGGTTTCCGGTGGCCCACACCCGGTCCGCTCCGCCGGTGATAAGGAAGAGACAACAGAGTGTAAATAGCGTCCTCATGTTATTGACTGACAGGGGGTGGAGGGACGCCGCAGAGACACGCTTCTCCCCCGCCAGCGGCCTCCCCAGACGGTTACACCGCCGCCCTGTTACACCACAACAGTAAACTTCTCATTCTAGTCTCCGATATAAAACGACAGCGTCGGCAGCCGGTTCCACATCTTGTCTGGTTCTCATTTTCTCGCTGCCTTTATACCGGAACCTGAACATCACCCCGCCCTGTCCGAGCCCAGCTCTACAGCAGCAGCCCCCGGCACACAGGAAACACACACACTCACACAGGTCTCTCACGGCTTCTCCTTTGTCTGCTCGACGGTACGATGTCCGTTTCGACAAACCGAAGCCTCGCCTCGTCTTCCGTTTTTTTTGTCTCCCCGGTTAATGGGAACAGTGAGCATCGTAGCTCAGCTGCGGTTTGCTTGCGGCTCAGAGCTATTTCAGTTAAGCTAGCTTCAGTAAAAGACTGACTTCCGGTCATGAAATACCAAAATAATAGCCCTTTTTATTATCGAGAAACATTGGTGGGACTTGAGGTTGGCTTAACAACTGGATACAGTCGACAACTGACTTGACCTATAATAATATAAACTAAGGAGGGGTCCTGTAGAGGGGCAATCATCAAAATGTATCTATAAGAGCTTGTTTTATTTTGAACTGTGCGCGCATTGTATGTGACATTTTCCCAGAAGGATTATCATATTATCCATGTTAGAAACAGAAAGAAGTGAGACCGTCCAAATAGAAAAGAATACGATAAATGTTATTTTAAGTGATAACCAGTTTCTAATGTCTGAACAAAACCTTTTAGATGCAGGGCATGATAAAAAAAAAACATGTGTTCTAGTGTTTCATCTGACTCATTACAAACGGTACAAGGGCCTACTACAAATTTAAATCTCTTTTTAAGAAAATCTGGCACTGGGCATATCTTGTGAATGATTTTAAAATGAGTCTCCTTCACCTTTGGGAAGATAGGCCAATTGATATATTTAAAAGATACTTTATCCATAGTATGAGTTAGTAATCCTCAATTGTAGTCATGAAAAACATTGATTTTAAAACAGTACTGATTAATTTGTTACTACATTTTTTTATCAATTAAATTACAATGGTTAATCACAAAATTTCGCAGTAGGGGGGCATGGATGTACCCTGTGTGGCTTTTTGTAAAATTCAAACTACAGTACATTGTTGTTTCATATTTGTCATAATAATATAAGCAATTTATATTACTTTTTTATTGAGGGAAAAGAACAGAAATAAACTGGTAGTATTTAATCACACTCTCATATGGTACAGTATGTCATGGCTGGAACTCTCTATCAGCAGGTTTGTGCTAGTTTATCATCAGATGGCATGATAAGGGCCTTCGCTGGGGCTCTGCTTGATTGATTAATTTCTGTTTAATTCAACTTCATTATGTGAGAGCAACAGATACAAACACAGTAACTCAGAAAAGAAAGAAAACACTATTAAATCACAAAATTACATCATGATCCCAAAGCCCTATCATGAGGAGGAATTCTGCGTCAAAATCTGCTTTTTGCAGTTTTTAGATTTTATGTTGGATATTCCTAATTCATGTGTTTAATCAAACTGCCTCACTGTAAACCTTAGGCCAGGAAGTATGCTAACATAGAAACCCCGTACACAGAGGAGCAGGGGTGAGTAAGGGCTCAGGAATTCAGTTTTTCCATGAAACTTGACACACTTGACGTTAATGTTTTCTTACCAAACCTTGTTTCTCCAAATTGTTATGTACACACACACTCACCACTATTTATAACAAATTGTATGCGTTTCTTTTTTAAATAAAACTTCTACTACTTCCTGTCTGTCTCCCTGTCTCTGAATAACTCTGGCTACCTTGACGGAGCGCTTCATTAATCCAGCTGGAGCGGCCCAAAGCGTCAACTCTCCTTAGCCAATAAGCAGGGGCGGTCACATGGGAGAGGGAACACCGTGATTAGTATCCACATGGGGGCGTGGGGCGCAGCCAGGGATTATCCATCATACATAGACAGGGGGGGGGCATGTATTTAATTTTCTGAGCAAAGGAAAATGGTGGAATGGCTCGAGACTGAAAACGTGATGATGATGTGATAAACAAACCACAGCTTGTTAAAGTTATGCACACTGGGGATGTGGTGTTCATGTTGATTCTCATCTCTCACTTTCACTGTCACATAGTATTTCTCATTGTCTTTTGCAAACATGTAAATTACATTGCTCCTCTCTATTGCTCACTTAATCCAGGTATTCACAGTCAGTTTCTGTTTCCTGACCATTGGTCACTGTAGTATCATCACATTCACACTCCCTGAGCAGTGTCAATTTACAGACCTGCAGCCAAGTACACTATTGTTCGCTTGTCATACACAAACAGCAGGCACAACGAGGAAACCTGACACTGCCATAGCGCCCATCTCCGTCATTAAAGGGAAATTCCAGTGCAGACTTCCCTTTTTATAGTAACAGGCTCATGCTGGGAGTCATTCACATATTTAAAAACCATTTTCAGATCACAACCACTTCCCCAGCGGAGGGGTCAGTGAGTTCACTGGGTCAGTATTTTCCAGTGAGAGCAACCACCCAGGCTTGTCTGGATATTAACTAGCACTGCTCACTGTGTTAAAGTCAGTCCTGGGACAGCTTATTCATCATCTATTGTGTTTTCATGAGTTGTGCGTCCTCCTTCTGTCACCATGGCTAAGTCAAGGCTTCTAGAAAAAGAAAAGGCGGGGGAGTCCTCAGTGGAAACACTCAGTGCACGCCAAGACAACCTGCTGGGGTGATTGCTCTGGCCTCTTCTTTGACATTTCGTGGCGTGACAGCCAGTTGTTGTGAGGCTGTCAGGCATGCACATTTTATGCTCGGCACTTGTGCTGCTGCCCTCCCTGGGCTCTCTAATTATTTAGCAATGGAATGATCATTTACCTCATGACTTATTTCACAAACAGCGAGGGAGAGAGACAGCAGGAGGGAGCGGCAGAGAAAGAGTGAAGAGGAAATCAAAACAGCTCCTCAGTTACATTCCATCGCTTTCCCCAGTGATGGCTTCAGTGAGAAATTACAGGAATATTTGCTGTATGTGCTGCAGTTTTGCTGTGTACCCAGGGAACACGGCAGCCTGTATTTACCTCTGTGTGTGAACTCACTGCATCTGTGTGAATATTCATGAACCATCTCAGAGCAGTGGTTATGATCTGCCTTGTGTTGTGTTGCAAATGAGATCATAAGCAGCCATGACGATTAATCTAAAAGTATTGTCCTCAAATGCCAATTTACTGTAGCACCAGTTTACACACAAGTGTTACCCTCGGTGAGACAGCCCGGTATCAGCTGGTCACTAACAGGGCCGTAGCCAGGATTTTATAAACACTGCAGACAGGAAGCCCACCTGCCTGAAGGTGTTCAGACAGAACACAAAACTCATGTTAGAGCTGATATATAATAAGGCAATGCAAAGACAGGAAGGATGTGGATATAGATACAGTTTCACTCTGGGAGGCACAAACTGAAGCAAAGCATCTGTACCAAATGAAAATGTTCCAAGTTGAGCAAATAGTTTGCACTTTTCCTGAGTCCACTTCATAAACATAGATAGATAGGAGGGATAATGAGTCGGGGGGAAAATAACAGAAAGAACCTGGTGAGTTATTAAATCAGTCACATGTAAATGTTGCTAGCTAGCTACAGCTAATGTCTGTGGAGGCCATAGAATAATTCAGTTTAAAGAGACCTGAAGAAATTATATATATATATTAAACTGCTCTATTACGCTTCCTGTAAATCTCCCTACATGACCCCCAATTTCTCAAGTAAACGTCCTTGTAGCTGTTGAATTCCTCCAAAAGACAAACATTTTCTGCTGAGGTAAACAGACTGTTGGCTGCTGTTCCTCAGCCGGCCATTTTGTCTTATATTGAAAATGAATTTACCAAGAATTCATTGTACCGCAGTCTGGCTTAAGATAGTCAAGAACTAAACTGCTTTGTGCAACAGAGGAATTTAGACTCAGTCTATCTGAAGTCTGACTGTTTGTTCTAAGTCACAGTCACAGTCTGTCTTTGTGAAAGCAGAGCTACAGCCACACTGCTGAGGGGGCAAGTGCCACTCACATGCCGGTTAGCGCTACCGGCGGGGGAGATAGATAGTTAGTGGGCTGTGGGGCCGGGTTCCTGAGTGGCACTAATGCTGGGTTAGCTAGGCCACTTGCCAGCTTGAAGAAAACGCCCTCCTGCTGCAGAGCTGGGTCGGTGTTGCCTCTTCTTCAGGCACTGGTGAGTCAGACCACAGCTCAGACCTGGGATTTATTACAATAGCACCGACATCATCACCACCACACAAAATGGTTGTATCGAACATTTACACATCAAGCAGACACAGAGCATTATTAGCATACACTTGGGAGTTGTTTTTGAGACCAGCTGATGAATTTAAGTCCAATATTCACTCTCCTTTAAGCTCTGCTTTGATTTTCATCAACTCCAGAGAGAAATCTTTGGTTTATGAGTTTCTGCTGCTGCAGCTTGAAACAAGGTTGATGAGAGCAGAGTTTAATGAGACAGAAAACCAAAGCAAAGAGCTGAAAAAAGTCAGAGGTGCGCAGACCAGAGTTTGTGATAATATACGAGCAACACCCTTCACGTGACACAGAAACATTTGATTCATGCTAACATGCTCACAGTGTCAATGCTACTATTTTGATGTTAAGCAGATATATTTACACCAAGTTGATGGAAACATTGTTAGTTTGGCTCATAAATGAAATAATGGGTGGAATGGGAGTCCTTGGTGTCCACAGTAGCAGCAATGGTACATTCTTGAGGCTGTTTGAATCTTGAACATTAAACCTTTTTCACCCGTTGTTGTGACGTTACCGTTGTTTTAACTTTTTTGTTTTATGTGCATTTATTTTTGCCATTTTCTGTGTTTATGTATTCATTCGTATGCTGTGTCGAGTGCTGTGAAATGAAAGACTGCATCAGAGGGCAAGATTTTATTTTCACAAGATAGATATACAAAACAAAAGTGCTGCAAAGTCTAGTGAACTTTCGGTATAAATAAACCCTCCCTGTGTTAAAATGGACAGAGAACTGAAAAGATTATCCAGAGGGTGAAGCTGCTCTGTCATAGGTGGAAGTCTGGCTCCGGCCTGCCTGCCCCTTTACTCATGTCTACACTGAATGCGCAAAGAGGGAAGCATCAAAACCAGTCAAAGCACTTAACAGGCAACTCAACAGAGACCTATGACCTCAAAAAACAAAAGAAAAAAAGGTCCCCGTCTTTTGTTAACTCAAACATATTCTGATGCCTTTGTACATTTTATTCTTCAGTCTTTAAATCTGTCCTGCTCATGATGCAAAACATCTTCCAGCACATCTCCAGCGTTTTACCTGAAACCTAACAAATGAACATTCAAGCAAATGTGTGGTTTACAAGGCAAATTAGGAAGAGCAACTGATCCTTGTCAAATTAAGAAAAAAAAAAGATCCAGCGTGTGCATCCCTGTTCTGAGATGACGTCTTACTCCTCAAACAGTCCAGGATGAAACTGAGACAGGTGGGCATGATCGGGTTATTTTGAGACAGAGACGCTTCTAAAAATATCTGAATGAGGTTTCAATGTTGCTGGGGGAGAGTGTCAACACCTCAAATCAAACACCCAAAACCAAAAAGAGATGAGGCAACTTCACGCTACAGAGTTAAAGACATATCTCTAAACTACTGTCCTTCAGGCACTGGTGAGGGAAGCGCCTATGCAAGCACCTGCATCCCAAATAAGGCGTTCAAAGCAATAAAGTCTGAAGACAGGCATGAGAAATAATCACCAACATATCTGAATAATAACAAAAAAAAAAAAGAAAACAAACATAATCCATTTTGACATTGGTAAACAAAAGATGGGAGGACTGTCATTTGTTTTATACAATGTCTATAATGGTGTCGAGAAGCGGTTGATACTTGGGCAGATTTGAGGAAGGAAGGAGACGATGTCTTAGTGTTAGCAACATGCCACCAAGTTAAACTACAACTTTACTTTAAACTTACTTTAAAGTCAGAGGATATTTTTGTTCCATTAAATTTCTGTTTCCTTCCTCCCAACAGAATTGTCCATTGAAACAATTTCCCACAGACAGATCCCCAAAATACTTGAAAACAACATGTACACATATCTTTGACTCACCCTTCACCTTATGACAGGGACACCTCCGTTATAATTACTATAACTGCTCATTAAAACTCTTTACTTTCATCATTGTAAATCAAACAGTTTGTAAAATGTTTTTCTTTTTATACAAAGCATAAATGCAAAATGTGTGATTTGGGAAATGGAAGGGCGTAGACAGACGAGGAGGTGGTGGTGGAGAAAAAGGGATAAAAAGGGAGGAAAAAGGGAAAAGTGGAGGGTAAGATGAGATCCAATGGGGAATTAGAGGGGAAAACAGAAATAGGAGAAGAGACGGATCGAAACGGGAAGGTGAACCAGAGAGAGACTCATACCTCCTCAGGTGGTATTTCTAGCCGTTGTGTCTGTGTATTTATAGAGCAGGGGAGTGGTAATCAATAGCCTCATTAAGTCCTCCCGGTAGGAACAGTTCAACATAAACACACACACACACACACAGCTCCTGACGGCGTCATTAAGCACGTCTGCTTCCACGCAGCTGTGAGCCCCGTCACCGCTGCTGGAGGAGCCCTCAGTTCCGCAGAGCAGCCAAACTGGAGGGAGGGAAAATACGGGAGAGTTTAACCGTTGGAGCTTTTATGAAATGAGATAAAAGCCTTACAGGTGCAGTGCACTGAATTACATTCATAAATGTCAGTTTAACTCTTTATTTGAAGGGGAAATTGGTTGACGATATACATAGATATTATATGATTATATACACTGTGAGACAATATAAATACATCAACCGCCAGAGATGTTGCTATACTGTGAATAAGACAGATACATGTATATATATATACTGTATATATATATATACACATATACAGTATATACACATAGATACATAAACACAGTATACTGTACATACATACATGTGTACAAACACATACAAATATATAAACGTGAACATGTTTTGATGATTTTAATGATAAGCCAACAGGTTGCCATGTGAAAGCTGGTCCCCATGTCAGGTCCCACCTAGAAATAGAAATACCTAAAGATGTAACTTAATTAAAGATTAAAAAAATAAAATAATCATTTTCTTTATTAATGAATCTGTTGACGACATATTTGATAAATCTTGATATATAAAACTTAACTAAACCATAACATATTTAACATATTAACATAACGTATTAAAACATATTTAAGGGGCAACACGTCTATTGTCCTTTCTGTTCCTAGTTTCTCTATTTTTATTTTAAAGTTAGCTTTTTGTAAATATGACACTGCTGTAACTACTTCAAAAACCACTGTTCGTTTGACCCATATCTCTACAATGCAGCATCTTCCCTCTGTCTTTGAGCTTCTCTATTTGGGCTGAACACATCTTATGTTTCTTGATCACTCATGACTTTACAGACACAACACACAACAGTCATGTCCCGTGTGTGTGTATATTAGTGTGCTGTGCAATCTAATTTCCGGTTCTCATGCCCTCATCTAACTGAAAACATGTTCCACTTGTTATCCTGCTGACAGACCATGAAGAGTTTTACCAGGTGAAGAATGGGAAGATTTAGTGTCTTGTTAAAGGAAACATGATGTAGACACACACATTGCTTCTAACCCTTCCCTCAGTAGTTATGGGACGGCACATATTATCTTGCATCAAATACAGACACTGGTCCTTACCGTCGAGACAGCTGGTCCTCCTTCTCTTGGCGTGCGCTCTCTCCACCCAATGAGGTGGCTCCCGCTGGCAGCTGGTTGAGCTGGTCCATCACCTCCAGCCCACTCTCCTCTGCTATTTGGTGAATCAGGTCATCGACCTGGTCCTGAGGCGTGGTCAGTGTCATCGCCGAGCTCATGGAGTCCTCCATCACCTGGTGTAGAAAAGAGAGGGATGGATGGGAAGAAAAAAAGGAAACTCTTTGATTTGAGTTTTATGACTTTAATTCAGACATGACTTGTCAAGTCCTCCTCAATGCCACAACAGCATATCTAACCATACAGAGTTTTTTAAGCTCACTTAGCACTTCACCAAAACAGTGTATGAAAATACAGGTACTACAAGCACAAATGCACATTGTCTGCAGCCACTCACTGAGGTGTGGACGTCAAGGTTCTGTACTTGACTTTCAAACTTATCCATGACCGCAGAGACCTTCTGGAGGTCCATTGAGTTCAGAGCTTTGTCCAGGGCCTTGGTCACCTGGCCCATGCTTTTGGTCACCTAAAGGAAAAAATTAGATACATTTATTATACATTTGTCTCATTCTGGAAAGACAAAAAAAAAAAATCTCATCTTCAACCCCCCAACCTTATCAAAATAGCAGAAATAATGTGATGAAGTCATATGAAAAAACTCACTTTATAGACCTGCATTTTGAAGGAATAGTAAAGTTTAATCTAATGCAGAATATGTTAATGAGATGACGGAACACAGTAACTTACTGCCTTCATGGTGACAGCAGTCTGGACTTTAGAGGCCACCGCGTCCACTCGTGACGACATGCGCAGCCAATTAAGACCTTCATTTTTTTTCCGGATGGCATTCTCTGCATAAACTCTGGCACATTCCACGTTTTTCTGTTGCAAAGCCTGATGACAGAGACAAAGACATAAGCTGCATGTGCAATTCGCCTTTTGTATGTAACACTGTATAGAAGACCTTTTTATAAATGAAGTCGGCAAAGGCACTGAACTGAATGTCAGTGTTGTAGACTGTACTGGCTGATAACATGAGGCCAGCCATCTTGTTTGTTTTAGCCATGACTAATATTTTTATTGTTTATTTTCTGCTTTTCTTTTCCAGTAATTTAATTGTGTATACAACATCTTGAAAAGTGTGGCTCATATGAAGTTGGTAATAATAGGTAATAGTAATAATAAGAAAATTGCAACAATAGCTCCTTATTTAAAAGCATGTGACCTGTTGAACTGTATATGACAAGTGAAGACTATCGTGACTCAGCAGGAAAATATCTCTGGTCAGTGAGAGAGGCCAATGAGGACCAGAGAGCTTTTGTACTCAATGCCATAAAAGAGGGAATATAGAGCAGCAGGTAATTACATATTTCAGGGAAATCTTTGAAATGTGGATATAAGTATTAAACTTGGCACAAATCCTCCTTGGGTGTTACTGTTTTTGATAGAACACGTTAGCCACTCGAAAATTCAAGATGGCAGCCATTTCCAAGATGGCCAACATTTCTGGCAAGGAAATGTCTGTTTTTGCAATAAGCTCACTGTCACACTCCCAGCAAACTAGTTAGCTTATATCAGCTCCAGCGCACATTGAGATGACTAAAGTTGCAGCTTTAAGGTAAAGTGATTAAAGCATTTGCCTTTGAAATGTCAAAGGTAGTTATTCAGTTGATGATTGACAGGGTTTGTTTGCTAACTTGGGAGCTTGCTCGCTAATTAGCCTAGGGTGCTAATGTAGGTGAATGTCTAAAGCCCTTACAGTATAGTGTAGTATGAGTATGTATGTGAAGTAACAGTTTTGTAATCAGTCAGACACTTAATGGGGGATACTTGATGGATTGATTCAGAGCAGCTATGGCTTTGGTACAGAAGCTATTCCTCAGTCTGGAGGTGCAGGTGTGGTTGCCTTTATAACGCCTGCCAGTTGGAAGAAGTTCGAACAGATGAGTCCTTACAGATGCTGGCAGCTTTTCTGGGGCAGTGTGAACTGTAAATATCCTCCAGGGCTGCGAGCTGTATCCCAGGCATCTTCTGTGGGACCTGCTGAAGAGTTGTCCTATCAGCTGCTGATAGGACACCACACAGTGACGCAGTGCATGTTAGGATCCTCTCTGTGGAGCAGCGGTTGAGGGTCACCAGCTGCCGACTGTACGCCGCCCAGCTTTCTTCAGCGTCCTCAGGAATAACAGCTGTTGCTGTGTTTGTTTGTTTTTTATATCAGTGCAGTCATGTCAGTGGACCATGTGGGCTCCTGTGAGATTGGAACGCCCAAAAACATGAAGCTCGACACACCCAGCTCTGAACAAACTGTCCCTGAGCACCAGCTCACCAGTAGGCTCTGTACGCTGAGTCATCGTTGTTGGAGATCAGCCCAATCACTGTTGTGTCATCTGCAAACTTTACAGTGGTGTTTGTGGTGAAAGCAGGAACACAGTCATGTGAGGAGCAGAGAATGGGGCTTTGTACACTTCTGGTGTGCCAGTACTCAGAGTTATAAGGGAGGACAGGTGGGGGCCCAGTCTCACCGCCTGAGGATGCTCTGACAGGAAGTTCAGGATCCAGTTACATAATAATGAGCCGAGGCTGATCTGGTGTAGTTTGGAGGTTAGGTCGCTGTGGATGAATTCAGAGTATTCAAAGCAGAGCTGTAGTCTGTGAATGGTGCCCTGTTTTTCCAGGTGAGTCAGGACAGTGTGAAGAGCCAGAGAAATGGATCTGTTAGTTCTATATGCAAACTGGTGTAAGTCCAGAGAGGCAGGGACAGTGGCCCTGATGTAGGAGAGGACCAGACCTTGAAAGCAGTTCATTATTGTTGATGTGAGGACAACTGGATGATAACTGTTTTTCTGACATTTGTTTTATTTGGCACTAGCACTATGATGACTGACCTAAGGCCAGTTAATTTCCTGCCCTGCACATTGCATAACTACCCATCCTGGAACATCAGTACATCCTGTGTGCTCAGTGTGAGAACCTATGGTTGGGATTCTTGCGTTTGTCACATTATTACCACTTTCAAAGCGAGTGTGACATCACTGTGGGGGCAGACAGGCTCCTGTAGTCAGTGGTAGTCCTGACGTCTTGCCAAATGCTCCTAGTGTCAGTGCTGTTGAAGTGGTCTCCTGTACGTTGTCTGCAGATGTCTTGAGCATTTTTTAAGCCTTTTTTCAGGTTTGACTTGGCGACACTTTAAACTGGTGTCACTGGATTTTACCTCATGGTTCATCCATGGTTTCAAGTTTAGAAACATCTTTTTTCCTTGTCCACTGTGACGTTTTCCATGCAGCTGTTGATGTAGAAAAGCACAGTGGCTGTCTATTTCTCTAGGTTCACCTCTGTGTCATGGGAAGCCTGTTGTGCATACAGGTCCCAGTGGGGACGATCAAAGCAGTTCCATGAGAGAAATGATCTCTTCTGTAATCTCTAAACCAAACATTCATTTAAAAAAGAACAGAGATGCCCAATAACCATATAGCAGAAATATTTATCTCTAAAAACAATTAGCCATTAAGAAAATAGTGACACATCAATTTCCCAGAACAAGCGAGGCACAATTTGTTCAATGTTTAAGTTGTATTGCCCCCTGCTGACTGAGGTGTGCCAGTAAAAGGTGCACAGATAATCTACTGATTACAAAGTTCCAATTATGGAGCCCCAAAACTGACAAAAGGCAGTAAAACTAACTGAATATATCAATAAATATTACTGTTTGTTACCTGTTAAAAATGCAACTACCAGTTGTGTTTTTTATATATATATATATATATATTATCATATAATCAGTTGTTTAAAAATCTATCAGTGATAAATTAATTCACAGTGATGCATAAAAAACTCACATACGTTTTGTAGGTGCATTCCTTTTGTGCAGATATTGGGATACAGTGTGTATATATATGTGTGGAAGCTACAGTAAGATATATTACTGATCCTTTCATTCTTTTTGTTTTTTTTTTACATTTATTTCAAATAAGTTGCTGAAATACTTTCAAATGTTTTTCATTTTACAATTTCATCTATCTTTCATTAGTTTCATCAACTGACTGGAAATACAAGGAAAAGTAGAGAGCTTTATATTTCCTTTTACACTCCATTTTAATTATCTAACTGCATTATCTATTCATGCATTTAGTTTTAATCCCTATATTTAGTATTTAGTCGAATAAGTAGTATTTTTACTTGTAGTATTTATTACTGTCTTTTGCCAGTTTGGGGCTCTGTAGATAATAAAAAAGAGATATAGACACGACACGAACAGCCACACCCAAACATAATCATCACCCTCTCCAGGCCAACTGCAAACTGCAGAAAAGATGGCAGAGAGATTCCAAGTGTAGATGATACCAATCTGGATGTTTGACATTGTTCACTTGCGCTAAAGACAGAGCAGTTACTGAAACTGAAAATTGCTGGGAGTCTAACTGCTGGTTGGACTCCACCCAATCCCTGTTGCTTACAATTCACTTTTTCCCTCTGCTCATTTTCTTTTTTTATCCACTGTCCACATCCCCCTTATTTATATAATTGCACTTACTGTGACTTGGCCTTTTTTTTGTAAGATTACTGTTTTGGCATTTTGCCTTTAATAGAGAGTAGAGATGCACAGTAGAGATGCAGATGGAAACACATGAAGGGAGAGAGAGACTGCACATGGAATAAAGACGGAATTGAGCACTGCAATCACAGTACATGGTATACATCTTAACCATTCAGCCAACACAACGCCCCAGTGGCTTGGTTTTAGGCTTGGGCCAGTTTACTTACCTTCTTGACCTTGGCCTGCTCCTTTTCAGACTCCTTCTCTGCCTTCTTGGCCAGTCTCTCAAGTTGCTTGGAAGTAAACTGGAAACCAAAAAGAGAAGGATGTATATAAAATCAATAAATAATTCAATTTTACAAGTTTTATCAAACTGATATGGATTAAACCTTTTCACATACCTTTAGCTGGAAGAGTGTTTCTGTGGAGCAACAGTGAGAGACAGAGTTAGAAATATGGAGAGTATATATTGTACACTGTCAATGAACTGTCTGTTACATAGCTATATACCAACTCTACATTATATATACAGTGTCTGTTGAAACTGGCATTTGATTCTCTGAAACTGCTGGCAAACTGATAAGAAAAATGATTGTCTGTCTTTTCTTTGCTTGAACATGAGCAAAACAGAGTGAAAAAGTAAGGAAATGTGTAGAGGGACCCTTAACTTCTGACCTACGCTAAAAATATGTTGATTATAACATAACCTAAATATTCATCTTTTTTTTATGTCTCTGCTGAACCCTGACATTGGCAGTTCCCACTTGGAAATGTCTAACGTAGGCCTTAATGGCAATGTACGCATTATATTTCATGTCAGATTATGTGTCAATGGGACTACTGTCTCAGGGGACCACTTATGATTTTGTGGGAGCATCAGACAGCTGCTCCAAAAATTAGTATTATCCAAAAACTAAAAATATAAACAAATACACAAACTGAAACAGTAGAAATTATTGAACTGTACAATTATTAAGGGGGAAATGCTTTCAGACACAAACCATTACATCAACAAAATATAAAACAACCAGTACAGTACAATTGAACAAAAAAGTCTGCTCTCTGGGAGGACTGTTACAGTTACCCAGTGATGGGAAAGCGTTAAAACACTTTTCACTGCAGATGTTTACCATATATTTTTTAAATAGGTATTTTAAAATGTCACTAAAACTATCATCCATCATAGGTGCTATAAGGTACTCTATCAATCAGTCAGAAGTCTTCGTGGTTTTGTTCGTGTAAATCTAAGGAAGTGTCTAGATGTGTCTACGTTTGTCGAGACTACACAAAACAGATTTTGAGTGTGACATTCCTCACATAGCAGTCAAGTGCTAAGAAAAGATTCAGTGGCAGGCAGCGTTAAGGCAAAATGTTCAATGAAACCGAAGGTCAAATTAATTGTCAATCTGGAAACGAACGACCTGAGAATCAGAACAGGTTTGACAGCTAATCTAGCTAACCACCCACCTAAGCTAACAAGCTAATGTTGGCTATCTGTCTTTAGATTGATGGTATAAGCAAAACAAAGTCTATCAACATGACCATTCAGCTATTAAAACACGACATACCATCCATGTCAAGACGAATGTGATTTCAGATGATCACGGGAAAATGAATTCTCAGCCCCGCAACAGGCTAGTCTTTATTTGTTTTGATTTAACCGTGTATCTGACACCAGACTTCCTGGTTTAAGAATAGTCACGTGACCAGAAATAGTTTTCTTCTTCGTCTCTTGTTCGTTTGTTGAATCCTGCTCAGGTGCAATCCTGCCACCTACTGTCACATTAGTGTTCTAAAACCATGACTTATTAATGCCAGGTAAGAAAAGTTTATCCTTCTCAGCACTAGCAATCAACCGCCAAACGCGTAGTCGCTATTGTTATTAGCTAGGTGCCCCCCCCCCCCCTCCCGTAATATGAATTATATTTATAACGTCCTTGTTTCATCTATAGACAGGGCTCGTTTTCAATAAATGTTCAAGTAGTTCACACAAACAGCGTCTTTTCTTTCATAGAGGCGGGAAAAAATAAATTGACGTTTGTCTTATTTTAGCTGCTGGATATTGCAAAGTCGAATTGCAGCACTGGGACTTTTAACTACATGTATCACTCCGCTTTACAGGTGTTCTATTAACAGTTAATTAGCGTTATATTAACGGTCCTTATCTACCTTAGATTGTAACAACTTTGCAAAGATGAATATATTTCCAGAAATAACATTTGAATTTGGTTTGCGACCTCGCACTTACGACCAAATATCAGCCGTGCTGATATTCGTCACTACAAAATCACTCCCTGTCCTTTGATATTGCTTAAATACACGTATTTTCTTTTGAAAGTGGCCCTAGATTACAGGCAGCTGTGTTTACTCAGTGCAAGGGCCAGGAACGTGAGCCCGGTCAGTTAAGCTGTCTCTGTTTTTCAGGAAGCAAGTCACAGATGTCTTTATTTAATAAGATGTTCAGTGGAGGGGAAAAGGTGACAAAGAAGCCCTCTGAAGAAGGAGAGGTTGAGAAACTTCTACAGGGAGAGGAGCTGCTGATGGAAAAGAAAGAACATTTGAAGAAAAAGATTGACAGAGAACTTCTGTATGCCAAGAAGAACAGTAGAAAAAACAGAAGAGGTGAGGTATCTTTGAAGGAAGTTGATATACACTATTGTGTGTGTAACTCCGTAGTAAACATACAAGCAGCTAGATCAGGTAGTGTTAGGTGGCTGCCTAGCTAAACTAACCTAAGCTAGCACTAATGCTAGCAGTTCCAAGAGTAATATACAGACCATTTTTGGCTAGCTCAGACTTATTAGTAATTAATATTAGTGATGTCAGTTACAAGTAAATTAACATGGATTGGTGACAGCTGTGAAACGTTGTCAGTCAGTGTAGCCTGCACAAAGACAGATAAATTTATAATGATTATGAAAAAATGGAACAGGGATTTAAAAAAACATGAGAGCTCCTCTTTTGGTGTTTGTGGAAAAGGCCAAAGATCAGATGTTAAATTCTTGTTAAAGTCTGTTTGCCAATAGACCGTTTTCCCTGCAGAAATGTGGAAAAGCAGAGGTGTGGGTATATCACTATATCATAATATCAATATGAAATATATCATGATATAGTACTTTTCCTGAAAACTTAAGTTTTTATGGCTAAAACTACTAAACAGTGTCTGCTTTAGGCAAATCCCGCAAATCAATGGCTGACAAACCACAGCAGCAGGATCAGACCATTGTCACACACACTTATTTTCCCACATTGAATATATCAGTATAACCAAAACATTGTAAACCAGGACTTTAGTTTAATCTTTGTCTGTTTTTGTATTGTTGTCTGGATGTGTTATATTATGGGATATAGTTTTATGTTGTTTTTTACAATGGTTTCAGTTTTTAGGACGTGTATATCCTGTATTTTGGTAACCTGTGTTGATTGATTAGGATGTGAGCACTGTAATTTCCATGTTTTTACAAATGAATAAATCGAACTTTGGAGCCTTTGAAATCAGGAGACTTAATCACATTGTTGAAATACACAGAGATACAGTATTAAAGGGAAACATAGGATAGTAAAAGTATTACTGCAAAATGTTAAAATTCATATTGGTATTACACACACTGGTATTGTCCATGAGGGCTAACTAGAGTGGCTTACAGGGACTCTTAATAAACTGTGCCACCATTAGTGTATTTTCACTTATTCCTAATGGAAAACTAAATTGCAATAAAAAATACTGCTGCCCATAAGATAACATTGTTCAACAGCTATCTGTGTGATCACTGTTACACTGCTGTTTTGTTTGAAAATCCCCATGATTCTCAGGCACACTCCTGCTCATATACTGTATTTCCCCTGCTCTCCTCACAGTGGCTCTGCAGGCGCTGAGAAGAAAGAAGTGGTACGAGAAACATCTTAAGTACATTGATTGTGCTGTTAAGGCCATGAGGTCCACCCATGAACACATGTAAGGAGAAAGACATCAGCACAGGAGCTCATTTGCATTATGACACATGAATATCTGTACGAATTTGAGAAAATATAAACAGGAAGTCAAACCAAATGTCAGCAATTACAAATAATATTTAGGACTCAAGTCATATTGTTGCATTGATGCTTAGTAAATATACAGTATGTGGATGTCATTTATTTACATGATGCCATGTTTGTGTATACAGTATCCTAATAGTTTACCTTAGACAGGAACTCTTTGTTGGTGGTTTCAGAGATATTGTCAGCAAGGTGAACGACCTGATCAGAGACATCACAGAAGAGCAGGATGTGACTCAGCATATATCAGACACTCTCCACACATCTGTGAGCTTTGGAGTGGAATTTGATGAGGTACAGTGAAACTAATTCCTGTAAGGGATTTTATTTTTATTAGCCTCTTGGGTTTTTATACATAGACTTTGTTTATCTGCACTGAATAGATTTTTTGATATTTGTTTTTACTTTTTTATGCCTCCACACCGGCAAGCCAGAGGCATATTGTTTTCTGGTTGTCGTCCATCCCTTTCTTGTGGACACAATATCTGAGTAACACCGGATGGAACTTCTTCAAATTTGGCATAAAACTTTCACTAGGGCTCAAGGATGAACTGATGTGATTTTGGGGTTCAAGATCAAAGGTCAAGGTCACAGTGACCTCACAAAACATGGTTTTGGCCTTGTGAACACAATATCTTTGTAACGCCTTGAGAGAATTTCTTAAAATTTGGTAAAAACATTCACTAGGACTCAAGGACAAACTGATTAGAATTTGGTGGCTAAAGGTCAAAGGTCAAGGTCACGGTGACCTCACAAAACATGGTTTTGGGCCTTGTGAATGCGATATCTCAAGAACTCCTCAAGAGAATCCCTTCATATTTGGCACAAACATTCACTTGGATGAACTGATTAGACTTTGGTGTTCAAAAGTCAAAGGTCAAGGTCATGGGGACCTAGCAAAATTCTTTTTAGCCATAACTCAAGACTTCACACAGCAATTTTGACAAAATTTCACACAAATGTTATATGATTATATGATTCTGGATAAAAAGGGATGTAATCTGAAACTAGTCTGAAAGGCAGAGACAGATAAGATCAAATTCAATTTTTTTTAAATATTTGAGTGTGATTCTGAGCAATATCGTTTGCATGTCAATATCAAAAGAGTTCTTTATATTGTAAGTTTGATTTTAATCATTTCAACCATATATTGCCTGTGTAGTTAGCTTAGGGTGATATAGTGTTACAGCAAGACCCACAGAAGTATTTGTGGTAATTCTGCTAAGATCTATAATGCCAGTTGGTGTGTGTGTGTGTGTGTGTGTGTGTGTGTGTGTGTGTGTGTGTCAGGACGAGCTGCTGGCAGAGCTGGAGAGGCTGGAGGAGAATCTGGATGCAAGCATGTTTGAGAAGGACAGAGTGGAGGAGAGAGTCCCTTCTCCCCAAGTGTTATCCACTACATCACCTTCCCATCCTGGTAAGAACCGTCTAAAGAGCAGGTACCAACACAAGTTGATTACTGTAGAATTAATAAAGCAGAGGACTATCACGTCATAGATCCCGCATCGAGTCATTTTGAGCCAGCTGCAGCAGATGACAAGTACATGTTTAGTAGCACTAATGTGGCAGTGGACAACTTCATGTTCACTAAGAGCATGACACAAGACAAGGTGCAGTTGGTGGCAGTATAAGCCAATTCATGCAAACTGCTCACAGTTTTTTTGTTTTTTTTCTCTCCCAAAGCCAAGATGGAGGAAGATGAGGTTGAGGATGATTTAGAGTCTCTGCGACGTTGGGCTAATGAACCTTCATAAACACACTAACAGCTACAACACACATTTAAAAGAGAAGAGGAAATTGCAGGATGGAATAAACAGGCAGGAATAATACTTTATCGTTCATGAGTGTTTTATATTTGTATGGACATCTAACTGCCTTTTTTATAGTGAAAAAGAGCGTATCAGTTAATGTAATACAGTATATTTTGTGAATTTCATGAAGGCTAAATTTTCAAATATTCATCTGTAGCTTCTGTATGTAGCTACTCATGCCTGATTCAAAAGCCATCTCCCCATATTATTATTTGATGTACTACTAAAAACTGGTCTTCTGTTATATATGTTCTTTGATGTAGCTGAGATGTTCTCTTAAAGGTCTTTAAACACGGTGTTGACCTTCATCTTGTTTATAGAGTTTTTGTTTCAAATTGTTTAATGTTACAAATATAAACCATTATATAACACCTTACCAGCAGGAGACAATGATTCTTACACAAAAGATTTAAAGTTAATCCACAAAATGAGCATTCTCATATAGTGCCCATAGCACAAAGTTCATGTACTCAATAGTAAAACTCTTTGACCTGTCCAGATCATTTTAGGGCATAACAAAATTAATGAAATGACACCCTTATAATATACAGTTTTAATGCTTATACGGTGTGATTGGTAATATTCTTCTTTGGTATGCTGTTACCTTGACAAAGGTTATACTACAATCTATAAGATCAGTCAGACTGAGTAGAGAAAACACACTGTGACTCCAATTCAAATTTTACCTTTCGTAAGGTAAGGTGTCCTCCTGAAATAAGCTTTTTCTGCCTTGTCTTTGGGAAAATGTATTTTTGCAAACTGCGCCTACACTTAATTCAGTCATTCCCAAATCTGGTGTGCTGCATCAATCATGGTTGATATTATTAAATGAGTATAGCTTTTCAACTATAGACAAATCAGGTGTAGCATGTAACTTGTAAACGCAAGTCGAATCTTGAGAAAGTTGGTTATTTGATCATCTTATTTCGGCATATTTAAGGAAATTACACACTTAGGTAAAACTATTATATTAAAGATTCTCATAACTCTACAGTTGACCCAACAAATATAAGTGTATTTCTCTGATACATGTAGAAAATAACAGTATCTATCAAGGGTGTATGTTTGTATTTCTTTATGTATAAAATTATGAAACCACATCAAATAAAAACCACATCCTTACTCAAGGAGCAAGAAGCAATCATCAGGGTAAAACTGTGGTCTTCACATGGATAAAAAATCAAATCAGTTTGCAGCTGATATTGTGGATTACCCCAACAATTAAATGATCATTATAAACTGGAACGGTTCATTTATATTAATTCCCACAAACACTGAAATCAATAGTAATGACAGTTTCTCAGTGGGTTCTAATATAATAATCATGTGGTTGCCCCTTTGCTGCCATCTCATACTAACATATACCATGGATTTATATTTTGTTTTCATAATTAAACAAGAGCTTATGCCAGTTATCCCTATTCACCCTTTGAATCCAGTATCTCTTACTACTGCTGTGAGCAATTGCACAGGATTAGTGTCTGTCACCCAGACAGAGCAAGTGACGGAGACAGAGGGGGAGGTGGCAAAGACAGGGAGAGGAAAACTGGCAAAAGCAGTAGCCTCAGTCACAGGCTCTACAATGCACACTCTAAATGTGCTATAGCATAGACTGACAAAAACAACTATGTATGTGCACCATGTACATGGAGATGTACAGAGTTTACCACAGCTGACTGAAGCCTAATGGGGTCTGGAGCAAGCCAGAAGGAAGATTCAGGTAGGGAGGATCTACGTCAAATGATCTTTTTCAGACACAAAATTAAACAGTAAACAATGCCGCAATACCAGTGACATTATTAACTAGCAGTTAAACTTGTGACTTCAACAGTTTAGATTTAAGAATTGGTGTTTCATGAGCAGATAATGAATTTTACCTTAATTCTTCACAAATTTCTGTTGGTGTTTGTCCTTAAGTGCAGAGGAGATAGATCTGTACATGGACTCTAGATGGGAATATTATAGTTTACACTGGCCCAGCACCCTGATGCAATTTGAAGTGTATTTCTGTTCAGTATTATAGAGTAATACTTTCATTAATAAGGCATAAACTATCCCAAATTCAGAGGTCATTTGACAAATTTGTTGTCAGTTGTTAAATACGATGTGTTCTCTGTCTTCATTATAATAACATTAATGTTGATCAGTGTTGGTGTAAACCATGCCAAAAAACAGCTACAAAAATAATAAGTACTCTTAGCCTTCCTTTTGATGATGTTAGTTTGCACTATGCCTCAGCTCTCATCTACCAAGATACAGTTGTGTTCAGCAGCTGAATATATTAATAAAATATTTCTTCATTAGTCCCACAGTGGGGAAATTTGCAGTATTACAGCAGCAAAGTGGACAGTACAAAGAAAGAAAAACTGCAAAATGACAATATTAAGTACGTATAAAAGAATAAATAATATAATTAGATATTAAAATATAACAAAAAAACAAGATATGTAAGTGCTGCTGATCTTTGTTAATAATAATTATTGCTCCTCTGTGGAGTACTAATATGATGTAGACACAGCCTTAACGCTCTTAAGAAATTAGCATAATCCAATTTAAAAGGTGCTGTTGCTCTTCATAACAAACACAAACACTATGACCACACACCCAAGCACACACACTATTGTCTTACTATATTCCTGGAGACCTGTCATTAGCATAATGCATTTTCTAGCCCCCTTACCCTAACCTTAACCATCACAACTGAACGCCTAAACCCTAGCCCCAACCCGAACCTTCACCTAACTCCCCCCCTAACCCTAAGAACCAAGTCATAACCCTCAAACAACAATTCAGACTTGTGAGGTCTAGCATTTTGGTCCCCACAAAGCTGTTGGACCCCACAACTATTGTGGGATCCTGGTTTTCGCACCCCACGAATATAGTAGAACAAGCCCACACACAGACACAGACACACACAAATACGCACCTCACTTGACCTGCAGTTCACTCCCAGGCCACTGACAGTCCAGTGTTTACTCTTGAATCTGTGAGGTCTAAATATAGTGAACAGGAATTAAAATAGAGGCTGGAGAAGCTGGGTGTGGGTAAACAACACCTTTCATAACTTTACTGGGGTTGTGACCTTTTACTGTGAATGGTTCCTAAAACAAAGCAGTTGTGTTAGTGGGTTCTTAGCTGTACAAATGTGGACTAAGGATACATACGTATGTGGGGAGGCAGCCTTTTGGACCCCACTGTGCTGTATATCTGACTAATATCTGTTGTGAGTCAGTGTGCATTTGTGATACTTCAGAGATATTTTCTCCCTCTCAGTTACAGAGACCCCACCCCCATCACAGTGTAGCCCTGAAACAGATTCAGCTGAGTTCTCTCCACGTCTACCTGTCATCCTCATCACAGCTCCGTCACGAGAAGACCTCCACGGCACGCAAACCACCATCACTATAGCTGATGCCCTCAAAGAAAGGAGGCCTTCCTCCACACCCTTTGTAGTGGGGAAGAAACTAGTGGCCAGACAGTGACTCAAAATGTCCTGCCACACAAGGTAAACTGATCAATCAAAGTTGGGTAATAAACATTGATGGAAGATGTATTATAATAACCCTGATGACTTAATCAGGGTTATCTTCGTTAGAAATTTATAACATTCATTAAAAACTGTGTGGGACATATGTATTTAACAGACAGGATCTAATGAGAAGATGCCATTGGACCATATGAATGACTAAAACTCAGTATATCCCTTCAAGTTTGAACTTTCTTAAAAAAAAAAAAACAGCGTTATGTGAATCCTCCAACATTATATGCAATTGTAAATTGTTGGTGTGCCCCTTTAAAGGCCCAAAAAACCTATTTTCTAACTCGATTTCTCAGGTTGGGCAATGGGGTTCCTCTTGGACCTAGAACTTTCTTACAAAGTTAAAACAGTATTTCACACAGCGGATCTCTGTATTTAAGTGTTTTTGTCTTTGTACTTCTCAATGGTTTTTAAGTGGGTGGGTCTCAGTTGATGAAAAGATGATGTCACATACTTCTCTGCACCAATCAGGATTTAGCAATATTTGCAGTTAAAAATAGCTGACAGTTGTTGGGTTGTTGTCAGGCCACTATCATTCAAAATGAATGAAACCTGCACCTACATGTTCCAGATGAAAGACATGTTGTGTTAAACTCATAATAATACCTAAAACACCATATTGTTGGTGGCTCAAACCAAAACATAGCAAGCAGGTTTAAGGTCTTTCCATTCAAACTGGTGTCAAGATGTAATATAGTCCTTCAGTCAGTCACATGAATAACAAATCAGGGAGGTCAGATAACATTTCTGTGGGTTGAAGGGGGAATGTAAAAATTACAATCAGTAAAGGCAAGAAAAGTGGGACAGAGGAAAGGGAGACAAAGTTACAAGGGTAGGTAGTGGACACAGGAGGGAGGAAATATGGCAAGGAAACACCAGACAGGCTTGTGTGAGGGATGTCAGGAACACACTGTATCCCAGTCCTCCTACAACTTGTGTGCTAGTTGTAGGAGGTCTGGGATACAGAGATGGTGAGGAATAATCTGAGGGCTGCAGGAGTTCAAAAGATTACTGAGCATGGGGGAGAGCGCACAGGTCAGGGCACTGTAAGCTTTTATGTGGGATTAACAGTTTTTTATAGGATATGATGGATAAACAGGATTTGGGTGGTAGGGTAGGGAAGATAGGACATTTATAATAGGACTGGGTTGTAAGCATGGCGTATGAAGTTTAGTTTAGTGTGTGTGTGTGTGTGTGTGTGTGTGTGTGTGTGTGTGTGTGTGTGTGTGTGTTTTTATATTTATTTTTATTTTTTAAAGGGGTTTAGATTGTACGTCTATTG